AAGCAAAAGGAATATTTCAATACCAAAATATATTTTTATTTTCTCTAACTAAAAATAAATAGCTCGTTAAAGAAATAAAAAAATTTTGCAAAGATAAATAAAGCATTTATTAATAAAATTGAAAATTTTGCATGGTTACCACTATTAGTTCTAAACATAAATATATAGATAATCAAAGTTTTATTTGTTAGAATTATTATATCTTCATGTTTTTAATAACTCAAGAGCAGCCTATTGTTATAAGTGGCAGCTGCAATTCTAAATACCCAGAATTTCAGAAATTTTGTTCTCGGCCGCGTAATTTTCAAGCCTACTAATTTAAAATTTTATAATATTATGCTGATTTTTTTTCAATGTGATTTTTAGACGCCAATTACCTTCCTATTATTCAAATCACACTACTGAATAATATTCTTTTGCCATCTTCGGCCGAGAACGATGGATTTTAACAGTGCTGCCAAATTATTCAGCTTTTCTTTAACAAATTTGTGCCAATCATCTGTTTAAAAGAACGGTTCTTTTATTCTAAAAAGAAAATAGTGGTAGTACAAGCACTTCATTATTATTATTTATTTTGAAAAAGAACAAGATAGGCATGTTTATCAAAATAATAATATGAATATTTCAGAGGTTGCTGTAAAAGTACAGAGATGCCAACTTGCACCGCTTTGTAAAAAATATTTTCTAGTGGAACTAGAAAACTTAAGTTATATTATAGTTCTAGAGAAACTTAAGTTATTTTTAATTTCGTGTTTTTCATTTTAAGTAATTTTTCCACCACTATGTATCAAAAATTTGAAAAATATGAAATGCACCTTAAGTGAAATTTTCTCGTGGTTACTCTTATAAAGTTGGGGTGTAATTATCCTAATTCTACAAATTTACAATTTAATTCGATACCAATTTTTTAAAACTTTAGCAAAGAGCGGAGCAGTTAACATTCCTGAAAGCATAGTGTTTCTTTTCAGTAGAGTTTTAAAAGCTGAAGTGGTAGGTAGCAAAAAGAAATATACATTTTTTAGAAACAAACATTACCACTTTTTTTTAATACAGCAGTTTTTCTTACATATGAATATTTCAGATACTTGGCTAATACACACAGAAATGTTACTGGCGACTAGTAATGCAAGAAGTGGTAGAAACTCAATTCATTTTTATTTATTTATAATTTCTTTAATTATTCAATTGAAACTATCGTTACATTCCGAATATTTTAACCCGAAACACTCTTTGCATTTACTTTCAATAGTAAACTGGAGGGGGAAAAAATACTAGAAAAAGTTGCTTATTTTAATTTTTATTTTTTTTTAAGGAAAATTTTGAATTTCACTAATTACTACACTTTGTAATTTTAGTCGACCGTAGCAACCTTGTACACAAACACATGAAGCTAGACAAATTCAGTCATTACAATGGAACGCTGAATACATCATTTTATAGAAAGTCTCTGCTAACTTCACTATATTTCAACAAGAACTAATCGACGCCAAATATAATCCAGTCACTTCTTTCTTTCAGTACTATCTGCAAACACAAAAGACTTAAGCATGATAGTACAAGCAGCCTGCTGTCTACAACCAACGCCTTCTATAATTGAAAGCCTCCATGCTGTTTCTTATAGATAGTCCGATCAGACCCAGGGCTTTAGCCCTGCATCAGACCACTATTAAGGTAAACTTGTTTACGAAAGAGCCATTTAATAGAATATCTAGTAAAAATAAGAAAGTAATAGCAAATATGCGCCTAAAAATTTGTTTAATTTATGAATATAATTGACCACCTCATAGATTTCCCCACCTTCACCAACTATATATATATATATATAGTTGGCTGAAAGATTTTTAGAATTGGAGTCATTTACACCCATGCAAAGTTTCGAATCGGTTAAATGAACGTTGAAAGTTAGTAAGTTCTTTCTAGCTTCAATACCAGCAAATTTTGAAATCATTCTATAGAATTGTGTAGTTTGTGTAAAAAGGAATTTTTAATTATCGTGGTATTGAAAAAGGAAGTCACTTGAACTATGCCCTCCTACGCTCATTTTGTATGATTAAATTTTTGCATGGGTAAAATGAGCACCATTTCTAAAAGTTTCAAGCATTGGTGCAGCGAGCGGGTGGCAGAGGGGCAATCTGCCCCTCCATAGTTATAAAAGAATACTCTCGTCAGCCTGTAGACAGATAAACACTTTGATTTTTTTCAGCCAACCTTTGTTTCAATTGTGCTTTTGCTTTGCTTAACCAAAAATATAACTTTTTTTGTTTATTTGTATGCATAGTTTTCTGTTTATATATTGATGCATTATATTCGCACAAAAATGTTCAAAGTTCCAAGAGATTACAAGGAGAAAACTCGTAAGTTTCAAACCAAATAGTTTTTATTATCAATGATCAAATATAGTTTAAAATGAATTATAAAATATACTAATAAAATATAAAACAGAAAAAAAATTTAAAATCTCAGAAGGAAATTAAATTGACCATTAGTTAGGTTTAAAGTGAATTCAAGTCGGATGATTTTTCATTTCGCTCCTCCAAAATCTACCGATCGCTACAGACCTGGCTTCAAATATGATCTTTCAAATTGTGCCAACAGTTATGCCAAGAAAAATCTTTCAAAACATTTTCTACCAAGTGAAAAATTGTCAAGACAGAATTAGTATCGAAGTTTTACCATTATTATTATTTTGAACAAACCTTGTATATCAAAGATATGTAAGCTACTTCGATTGGCAGACACTAGACTTTTTTTTTTCTCTCCCTGCCCCCAGCCAACGCCTCCTATAGCTGAAAGCCTCCACACGGTCTTTTTTAGGTAGTCCGATCAGACCATTATGAAGGTAAACCAATTAGTTAAAGAACCATTTAATATGAAATCTATTAAAAATTAGAAAATGGTAGCAAATATATGTCTAAAAATTTGCTTAATTTATAAACATAATTGGTTTGTTTTACTTACTTGTCAATCACTACAGATTCATGCCTGCCAACTTTCACTCTTTCAGAGAATGAATTTTCCAAGTGGTAGTAAAATAATTACCGAAAAACAATCTTACTCAAAAATATATTTATATTTTGACTAGGTTAAAATTCACTATCGTCAAGATTAGTATGCTTTTATACATTTGTTGTAATTATTTATATGTGGTGGTGGTCAAACTCATTTATAATTATTATTATAATTCAAAAATTTTAATGGCATGACATGAGTTTCGGTACCACTTTAAATACAAAATTAAAATCTTCCGGGAAAACCGGAAGAGTTGGCAGTTATGCAGATTCAATTCTCAAATATATATGATAAATTTCTCTCAAGTACCTTTAAAATAGCATTTGGGTTCATGCGCACAAGCGGTTCACTTTTTAAATAATCTGCGCAAACTACTTATAAGAAACCGTGTGGAGGCTTTCTGATGTAGGAGATGATGCCCCAGCTCCATCAATTCCTCTATTTATTTCAACGGGCAGCTCTAGTAACAACAATTTTTCTCTAAAAAGTTGAGAAGCAAAATAATTAATATATTATAAATTTATCTTTATTCTTAATGTAAATAGATACTTCTTTAAGCCTTTGTTCTTCTTACTAGTTTTTTTAATAGAATAAAGTAGCAGTTGCTTAAGGTGAAGAATGAGTACTTATAAATGTAGGTCTATAAAGGTATCTATAGGTATAAAAATGTATTAACTTAACTTATCTTTACCCCGCCCAATAGGGGGCATGCCAGGAATACTGAAGTCTCGAAATAGGCATCTGTGTCCCATCAGTACAAGAATACAAATAGATCGTGATGAACAAAGGAGGTTCCTTCAAATGAAGCAACCCCTGAGAGTGACTCTGGGTTGTACGGCAGTAAATGTACAGATGCAAAGATGACAGATTGTAATGACAAAGATTTACAGAGCTCCAAGCTATAACTGAAGATTGTTCCGAAATATAAATTTACAGGTGTTACAAGCCCTAAAGGACAGAACAATTTATTTGGAACATAATATGAACATGAATTGTAAATTAAGGTGTCCAGATGCAAAGATGAAACATAACATCACGTCTACATCATTAACAAAGCTGTTAAAGAGTTAGTAAAGTTCCCAAAGCAGCAAGAAAAAAAATTAAATATGACTGTCTTTTACAAAGCATAGAAATTGTGATTGAGAAAGTTCTCGGAGTAAAAGTACAGATGTAAATATGTGATACTTACAGAGCTTCGGGCTAAAACTAAGGAATGTTCCGTAATATAAATTTACAGATGCATAAGTATGTTGTGAATGTCAGTGTACAGGAGTCAAAAGTTCTAAGTAAATGTGACATTCTTGAAAAACTATAGTCACTGATAAATGTTTCACAGAAGTAAAGATGAATCAAATCATATAAAAGAAATTTTGTAAAGGCATAGTGCATGCATTTGTAAAGACAAAGATAGTTCAAGGCACAGAGCACATGAATTGATCCCTAATAAATGTCTTTGTAAACAATTTCACTGAGTTTCAAAATATAAGATACATTATTGGGAAAGAAGAGAGTAGAATGGAGAAAGGTTCTAGGAAAGACTCTGGCTCACAAAGGTCTGTCATGCCAATAGAAGATGAAGAAGCATTAATGTAAAAGTTCAGATGTAATGATGAATCTTTTGATCTATCCCCTTTAGTATCTGAATCAGTTTGAAGGCTCAAGTCTCACCTCAATAAAAGTTTCAATAAATAAATATCAGGTAGGCTGTACCTTAAAATGAAAGATGTGTAAATATTTGTGAATAGGTTATTGAACTTTCCATATCATTTCTCAAAAACAAAACTTGCCTTCAAAACCAAAGATTTTGAATTGAGTGTAATAAAGTTTAAAAAGTATTTATTTAAAAAAAAAACGAATAAAATAAATAAATAAACAATATGCCTTTATCATTATAATTTAATGCATTTGAATACTAATTACAAATTATTAGAAAATATGCATCAACTCATTAAAATACAAAAATAATTTATTAAAATAAAATTCATAACAAATATATCACATAATTGTTTATTTGTTATTTCTTAGTACACCTATTAGTTCTTGCATGAGTTGTGTTTGTTTAGTAGCTTCTGCAGCTTGAGCTTCCATTGCAGATGCTATTCTTTCTAACACAATACAATTTCTTTCAGCAATATTTACAAATGATTCTGCTGCTTTTTCGGCTGTCATATACTTGCTTGTGAATCTGTATCGTTGCCTTTTTTTAGCTAAAGGAAAGAAAATTTAAAGGAAGATGTTACAGTGAAGTATTGTATTAAGAGCTAAATCAATATTTGATGAGTATAAATGCTCTCCTCATTATTTTTAAGATAATTTATGCCTTTTTTAGGTGGGTCATCCATTACATTTATATCTCACTGCCTGTAAAAAAAAACCTGGAAAAATTAACTGCAAAAGATAAAACAATATTTAAGCTACTTATCCAGCATAAGAATCCCTGAGATTGTAACCCCTGTCATACGAAAAGTTTCACAGAAGTTTGCGATTTGGGAATGCAGTTAGCATGTCACAATTGCATGAAAATTTTTTAATGGGGAAAGTGTTGACAAGAAAGAAATTTGAAGTGCAAGAACAGGTGGAGAAGTTGCAACTTTAAATGCAAGAATTGGTGGAGAGGTTGCTACTTCAGGTGCAAGTGAAAAAGGTGCAATAACAAGTGTGTTGTTCCATGATCCATATGGCAAATTTCACAAAAAAATATTTTGTATAAGTTTTACTGGGTATTAATTGACCATCCACCCTTTAGTCCTGAACTTGGTACCAGGGATTCATCCGAAAAAATTTCAGTCTGGGGATTACTTTCCCAAAGGCAAAAATCTTACTGACAGCTGCGATATGCTGACTCAATTCCAAAATGGCTAACTTCTATGATACTTGATTACGAAAACTTAACTTCAAGGTACGGCAAGGGGTACAACCCAGGGATTCTTGTGTTAAGATTCTGTTGTATCTTTTGCAATAAATCATTACAGGTAGTTGCTTTTTTGTTTCTTCTTGTGAGCCAAGAAAAACTGACTTTCTAATTGACAATTCAAACATCAATTCAAAAATTTCAGTTTAAAATAATTCCCTCATGGTAGGGAAAAGTGCTTTTTCTTCATGGTTGAAATAGATTGAAAAGTCGACATGCTCTGAGTGCTCGAACACGTTTCTTAACAGGATGGCATTTCTTGAATGATCAAAGAGGAAAGCAGTAAAATTTTAGGAACAAGAAAAGGAACTGATGGTAATCAAAAAAGGCAGGGAAATTATGGAAAATGAAAAGAAACCCCAATAGCCCAGGAAACAGCAGTTTTCCACCATCTCAGCTATCATGTTCCGTTGTGTTCTCCCTTCCATCTTTACAGTGTCAACTGTTCTTTTTCTTGTTTTCTATCTGTTTGTTTTCATCATTCACAGGATGTCATCCGGACAAGATGTATCATGTTTGACAAGTTCACCTTTCTTTTATTTCAATTATACTTTAAAAGAACTGAATTTAAATTCCTAGGTTTATACCCCAAATTAAAAATATATGTGTTCCATTAAAATTTTATTTAAAAAAGGAATCCCCAAAGGTAGTGACACAAATTTTTTAATGTCTTGAAAAGTAAAAGAAAACCACCGCAACTATTTTCTCTTTCAATTACTTTTAATTAAAAAAAATCAATCATCATAACTGTAACTATCATAAATAAAACATGAAAGCGCAGCGCAAAATTTACATTGGAACTAATGAAAAACAGTAACAGCAACCAAAACAAAGCAACGGAATAAACTGGACATAAGCAACACACTTCGGGTGTCATTGTCTCCGATGGAACCGTCTCATTACAAAGAAACAAGTTTAGGGTTCTCATTGATTTAACGTTCTAGTAAGTTAAAATGTTAAATCACTTTATGTTTATTTCTTGGTGTAACTGTATTTTATTTTGATGGCATGCTTAAATATAATTAAGTTAAAATTAATAAACCAAAATAATCTAAAATAAAAACAATCAATGTCTCCCCCCAGGGGGCCGCGGTAAAATTGTCAAATGTTGACAGGGCTGCGGTGATAAAAAGGTTGAGGAACACTGGTTTATAGCATGGGATTATGCATTTCATAACTGTTATCCTATTTTTTATTAAAGTCATATTTATTTCATGACTAAATGTATTGCTTGAAACCTTAAAGTGTAATTAAAAGTTAAACATTAAATGCATTAAAGTGAAAATTTGTACAAACCTCTTTCTACAGTCTTTTTAGAAGTCAATGTCGCAAACTCGTTTAGTAAAGAACGAGTTGTTGTGATGAGAGGTACAGATTCAGTTGCAGCTGTTTTCTCTTCTTGAGGATCGTCTACATCTGGGGGTTCTTGTTTGACTTCATGACAAAAACAAAACAAATACATGCATAAAAAATGAATCAATTAAACATAATTTATGACATCAAGATTATAAAAATGAAAATATCTCACTCAAAGTAGGAATATCTAATGAGGTCAAAGTGATAGGTGTTTCAGGTAAAATCCTCCCAAATTCAGTTCTGGAAGCAGGCAGGGTATCAGCTAGAAATAAATTTTAAAACAATCAAATTATAGAGATAGTTTAAAATTTAAAACAACTGATGCAATGTAATATTTATACAATGGAGTGCCAATTACCTGTACCAATCAGGTCAAAATCTGATGCAGATAACAAAAAATCCAAACAATTGAACAACTTTGAAAGACAGCTATGAGAATGTTATTAAGTAACTGTGCGTCAAGAAAAGTGTGTTTTAAGACTGAGAGAAGAAATTTTAAAAAATAGTACACCTCCTCTTCTTAATTATTGGAAAAAGAAGAAATCTGTTCCCTTACTAGAAATTAAACACACCAGTTACCACCCACATTGAAACTAATGAAAGGATAATTAAGGAAGAATTAATAAAGAAAGAATAATAATAAGAGATTCTTTTAGAAATCACAGAGATATAAAATAAGCCATTTTTTATCCTCTTTCAGACATCCCAAAAACAAAAAAGCATCTTTGTGGAAAAAAACATTTTTGCAGAATGTGGGAAAAAGCACATGATCCTTGAATAATCCGGATAATTGAACAATCCAGTAAATCGGCATTCAGATAATACGCATTCTCCACTGTAATTGATTAATACTAATGTAATATAATATTAATGTAATATAATATTAGTGTAATATTTCATTAGTGTAATATAATATTAGTGTAATATAATATTATATAATTATTATAACATGTTTTTTTAAAAGAAGAACCTTACTACATTTCATTGAAAACAATGTTTAAAAATGACAAATGGTCAAAATTTTATTAAAAGTTTGTTACATTATCACCTTGGTAAATCCTCATCAGTAGGATAAATAGCAAGAATGGTAAAACAGATATGATTTTATCCAACAGAGAGTATGTCACACAAAAAAGACTAATATACAGTAAAAAGGAAAACATTAAATAGACAGTAAGTGTTAGAAAATTAATGATTTCCAAACATTTAAAAAATGTGATAAGGCAGCAAGATCATTAAAAATAGAGTTTTTGTTATGATTATGGGGAAATTCTTCCAAAAATCTAGGTTAATGCATGAAATACATCTATGAATGATACTAAAAGAGGGAAAATCAAACCTATGATCTTTAGTCCAGCAATATTGCTATTTGATAGTTTGTTGCTGGAAGTGTGTATAGGTTTTAATAAAATTTTACCATGTCTAATTTTTAAACATCTTTTCTAATAAAATTTAATACAATTAAAAAAAATTATTATCATGACCTCCCTAAAAGTTTTGAAAATTACAAATCTTTTATGTAAAACCAACAAGTTAGTTATTTATGTATTGCAGAACAGATGTCAAAAATATAAAGAAAATTTAAAAGAATAAACCTGGTGCAGTGTCTAAGCAAAAATAATGCACAAATTTTAAAAACAACTACTATTATCATTAATTTTTTTATTGTTAATAAAAGATGAAAAAAATAAAAATTTTATTATAAAATAAAAATTTGTTGCATGTTGTTTACAACTTTTAAAAACAAAATATGTTATGTTAAGTAATATATGTATTAAATATGTATTATTAAAATAAAATATGTTGTTTGAATTGATGTTTAAAATAAATAAAAATCATTTATTTTAAACATTGTTTTTAATAAAATTTAATATTATCATATAGAATTATTCTTGTAACCTTCCTATAAGCTCCAATATAAAATTGCAAATAATTTATTTAAAATCGGCAAGCTAGTTATTTATGTATTGCAGAACAGCTTTCAAAAATATAAAGAAAACTTTTTAAAAAAATAAGCTAGCTGTATTGTTCAAGCAAAAATAATGGTCAAATTCTAAAAAACAGCCACCAGTATCATCAGTTTTTTTTATTTTTAATAAAAAATATTTATTATAAAAATAAAATATGTTGTTATGTTAACTAATATATGCATTAAATGTGTATTATAAAAATGAAATATGCTGATCGTTAAATTGATTTTTAAAATAAATAAAAATAATTTATTTTAAACAACATTTTTAAAAAAATTTAATATTATCACAAAGAATTATTCACATAAACACTCTATAAGGTTCTATATAAAATTTCAAATATTTTATTCAAAATCAACAAGTTAGTTATTTATGTATTGCAGAACAGATATCATCAAAAATATAAAGCAAATTTTAAAAAATATGCCTGCTGTATTGTCTAAACAAAAATAATGGTCAAATTTTAAAAACAGACACAGCATCATTATCAAGTTTTTTATCCTTATTAAAAAATAAAAATAATTTACTATAAAAATTAACAGAATTTCCTAATAAAATAAAAAACATGAAATTAAAACAAACATTGTAATGTTTTTATCTAACAGTCAGAAATCCTTGTAACTTTATTGTTAAATATAAGTTAAATACTTATGATTTATTTTCTCAGAATGAAACTTTCTTTAATAGTCCTTTGAAATTTCCATTAAAATCCCAAAATAAATTTAAAATGAACTTTAGTAATAAGGCAGCATGTGATCTTCCACTAAGTGCAATATTGCCAAATTAAAATGGTACAATATAATGAAGATATATTCAAACATTTTAAAAAATAATATCAAAATAAGAAATTTAAGCAGCTAATTTTCTTTTTCTTTTTTCAACTTTAAACAATTCTTAGATTTGCAACATATTCAACTTAAATTAAAGAATTTCATAAAGATATCAAGAATTTGCAGATTAACTGAGTCAGTGTCATCTTCAAAATTTCTAAAAATTAAATTTCATCTTTGAGCTTGTATTTTATTGATACAGGAAAGACAGACAATGACTGTTTCATTTAAAAATAATCAAAATTATATAAATGAACTCGATGTAAATATAACTGACTTTTTGACCAGTTGTAAACATGCAGCCAGTTTTAAAAACTAACATGCACTTACTGTGTGTTATTAATTACTATAGTAGATGTAAACTACTTACTTGGTATTATTTCCATCAAAGATTCTGAAACATTATTAGGTGTTTCAATGACAGAGACACTGCTTGATTCTGACAACAAAGAATCTGTCAATTCTTGATTTTCCAGGGACTGAATCCCATTCTGCGATAACAAAGGTAACACAAACAGATCATTAAAATTAAATTTGCAATTAAAGTATTTATTCACAGTACTATATGAGATTAACACTTACTTTAAATGCTACTTTTTAACATCAAAAAATTAACGATCAGTTAGAATCAATTAAATCTCCAATTATAAAGTTGTTGTTTCTAATGTCACTTGCCAATATCAGCAAGCCTACTTGGTGAAACCAAGCGAATTTAAGCCATCTATGGCCACACACCCCTCACGACCTATTTATAGAGCAGACACATTCATACATATATTTATTCACAGGTCGTAGTTTTGACCTGAACCAGAGAACGGCTAATTCTCCAATTCATTAGCCCCAGAGGTACGATTTGTAATGGAAACATGGAGGACTTTAGGACCTGGTAGATTTAACGTGCAACAGACACCATTTACTACAGAAGGAGTCTTCGGCCAGCAGGGAGCGAACCTATGACCGTTTGACATGAGTCCAACACCCAACCAACTGGGAAGCTATCCTAGCTTCCAATTATTAAGTTTAGTAACTTATTATAAAACAAAACAAAAAACTTAATTTTCTAATAAATTTAACTTCTACATAGCACCACCAAAATCCTGTGCATCATTTATCAACTTTGATACAGCTTCTTTCCTTTCTCAAAGACTTTCGGAATAAGTTTCTTCACTATTTTATTAAGTTTTTATGATGTTATTATATTATGTAATAATCATAATGAATTGAATCACAATAATTACACTTGCTGGGAAAAAAAATTTTACTGTAATATTACGAAAATTTAAATCTGACAAATAGAACTGAATAAAATATATACTTATTATAATGACTTATGCTTCAAAAAAAATTTTTTTGAATAATATAAAAAGGCATAATATTTTTAACAACTAGATCTTAAAGATGGATGACAATTTGGAAAACTAGACAACACCAAAATACTAATTTAACACAACAGCTAAAAAGGGTATCATTGAATTTAATATTATAAGTTTTTTAAGACATTACAGAATTTTTAAAAGTTTTTAGAGAATTTTTAAAGTTTATCTCATTGGATATAAATAACAAGTATTAGTTTCCTGAAAAATTCCACAAGAGTTGAATTAACTATTGGAACTTACTGTGACAACCACATCTGCGTCAGGAACTTCCGCAGTCTCATTTGCAGAATCATTTGGATTGGCTTTATTTGAAGTAGCAAGAATTTTTAAAATCCTTTCTTCTAAAGGCGTTAATTTTGTACCATGTCCATTATTTTGAATCAGTCTCACTGCCTTGATCTGTGTTTTTGTTTTCTGATCAGTCCAAGTCTACAACATCAAATAAAATTATTTTCCAACTGAAAAGTAAGTTTTTAAAGAGCAAAGTTAAAATTGCCTTCAATAAATAATGTATTTTAATAGGTGTCAAAGCATTTGTATTCAAAATTATAATTTATAAATGAAATATATATATAAAAAAAAAAAAAAAGATGAAGCTTATTCTCTTCTATATTTTAAAAAAATTACATTACAGTTTCTAAAACTGAAACTTTCAAGGTAAAAAATAAAATAAAGAATATAGTAATACAAATTTATTTATTCTAATAAAAAACCTATGTTAAATACAAAGATTTGTAACTACATTTAAAGTATGCCAGACATGAACAATTAGAAAGTTATTTGTTAAAAAAAATTTCTAACAATATTAATAAAACAATCCATTTCTAACTATTCTTCATAAAAGATAACGATTTGCAAATTAAACTGTCAAAATAGTTAATCATTGACATTCATTTCCAAAACCAATATCAAAAAGAAAACAATGAAAGAAATTTAGCATTAGCCTTATGAAATTGGTTTGTTTGAGATATTAGCTATTCAAACTTAATTAATTTTCTTGGTTATAATAAAAACTATTTAAAAAACTGAGCAGAAGATAATCTTTCAATTAAAACTATTGATTGCGTTCTATTTGAACTGCAAATTCTATTTAAACTAATATTTTATCCAAAAAATTTATAATAATTAAGGAATTATTTTAAGAATGTGGTATATGTTGAAAACAATCACATTTTGTTTCTAAAATCTGCAGCATAACTTTAATCTCGTAGTACTTGAGGCAAATAGTAAACAAATCCAATGAAATCTGTTTGGGTACTGAGAGGACAGATAGTCAGTGCTGGAAGTAGCCAGCAAATGTAAACTTTTCAGAATTTCTTCAATGCTTATGTCCATCTAAAGGAAGTTGCATAACAAACTTACTAACATCAGTTCCGTTTAAAAATTAATTAATTATTAAAACAAATTTGAGCACTGAAGGACTAACAATGATTGCAAAATAAATAAGGTAAAAAAATTATTAGTCTTAATAATTGAGTATGGGTGGTTTAAAAATGAAATCTTTTTACTATATTTTATAGAAAAATGATGTTTAATATTAAAAATGGTTCAAGCATTTTGGTTTAAATCTATAATCTTTCTAAATTCCAAATAACTAAACTAAGACATATAGAAAGATTACTTATCCTCTACCTTATCAATCATAGAAATTACAGAAATTTAGTAACTAGACCACAGAACCAGTAACTAAAAGGTATAGTAACTAGACCACACATATTTTCACGGGTCTGTTCATTTTCACATTATCTAACAGCCGTTTTCGTTTTTTTTTTAAATAATAATAAAGTAAATTTAAGTAAAAAGTTATAATACAAATGTGAAATGCTCACAATTATGACAACAGCGGCAATAACACAGAATAAAAGACGAAACCATAACAGCATATCATTTCTTAACATCGATTGCTGGTCTGAGGAACCACTTACAGTTACTTAACGATACTCCAAGATAAATATTTGTGGTCCTGGACCAACAGACCTTTCTTCATTTTGAGCTCTGCTTAGTTTCCTATTCATTCATTTGAATAAGGGCATAAAAATCAACTCACATATCTTGAGACCAGATATAATTATCATAATATTTTAGATCAGATACAATGAGAAAGTCACACTTAATAAATTGACAAGTAACATAAAATTTCATCTTTTTAAAAATCGATAGGTACTAATTCAAATATCTCAATTGAATATCCAAAATATACTTTATGTTCTATTTTCAGTTTATTTGGTTTGGTACATATTTTAATATCATTAAGAAGAAGAAAAAAAACATCAATTCTATTAGTAACCTAATATAAAACACATAAAAAGTGTTCTCACTTTTTTCCATCTCTCCATTGTTTTGTTAGGACAACCTTCAACAGAATTTAGTTTATGATATAATTCCAGCCACAAAGCTTTCCTTTTCTCAGCAGGAATGTCATCCTGTTTACCTTGTGCTATAGCCAAAGCTGGATACAATTCCATGAAAGATACAAGGATTTCCAACTGTGCGGGTCTTATTCGTGCTCTTTCTTTGCTATCCATTTCAAGACTGATAAGAGCGATTTCGAAAAACAAAACAAAAAAATTTTTTAATAAATAACTACCACATTATTTTTAAACCAGAATATAATTACATACAGAGTTCTTCCTAGGGGAAAAAAGGGCAGGGTGATTCCTTTCAGAAAAGAGTACTTTGAGTTTTGAAAAGGTACTTAACACTGTTAAGATTTATCAAAAAGTGCAATACCATGTAATAACTGAATTTAATCCTAAACAATATAACCATCTCACAGTATTTTATGTGTTTATTTCAGAATGTAATTTTCACTCATTATCTAAATAAGAGAAAAATTTGTAGTTTATAAATAATAATTGTAATTTTGAATAAATGTAATTTTCACTCATTATCTAAATAAGAGAAAAATTTGTAGTTTATAAATAATAATTCAGGGCATACTAAGAGACAATCTTTGTGCACACATTTTTTTTTTAAATTCAAAACAGTAAACTTAAAAAAAAAATTTTTTTTTTTAAAAATTGATCAACAGCTTAAAATATTTTTTCTATGATTTATACTGAAAATTATTAGAAAATAAAAGTTTTAAGGTGCATTTTTAAAAAAATTATTTATTTAAAAAAAAAAATTTATTTAAACTCACTTAAAAAATTTATTAATATACCCCTTTGAAAAAAGAGAAACTTAAAAAACTTTAACCAGTTCAGAATAATCCTAACAAAGTAAATATTTGCAACAGTAATCAGAATTAAGCCTATTAACACAGATGAGTATATAGGATTTAAAGGGCAGGCAGAGCAGGCCGCCTTCTAAAAACGATTAGGGAGAACACTGATTATTATTCATGAATGCATAAATTATGTCCGAGCTTAATATAGTTACATATATCCAAATTTACTAAAAGTTAAGGAGATTTTTGGAAACAAAAATCACCTATTTCAATAACTTTAAAACATTTTCTTTTTTTTTTTCTGTGACAAATTCTTCTCAAATTAGTTTAACCATCATATTTTCTAATAAATTAAAGACCATTGCACAAGCTCATATTGCAACATTTATAGCAAAAATTGATCAATCAAAAAATTAATTTACAAATATTGTAGACAAGGCGCATAATTCATAAAGTGCAGAAATCCAAAAGAATGTGGAAGAAAGAAAAATGCCTTTATGAATTAAAGGTTTCTAAAAAAATTGTGCAAAAAATACATATTATTTTTGCAGAAATACAAAAATTATTCTGTATATAACTAAAGAATGTTTACAATTAGATTTAATTTTTTCATATTAAGGTAATTTAGATTTAAAGTATCTTTTTATTAGCTTGTAATCGGAACTGCATCTAGGATCTAATTAGTTACACGATTCATTCTCAAATGCAATTGAGATTAGATTCACTCAAAACTCTAAGAAATACTATTATTTCATAGCAATTATTAAAGAAAAAATATGTAATAATTCACATATAGTATTTGTTACAGCATGTATGAAGATTTATATAGAACTACTTGAAAAAACAATTAAAATTTCTTTTACACACAATGTATGAAGGAAAAACGTCTAAAAAAATAAATATTTATAAATCACATAAGGAGTTACGAATCATGTATGGCATTTGTATAAGGAAAAAAAAATGAATTAGTATTTGCAAATATTCAACCAGATTTTGAGTATTAAGTTTAAAATATTTTTATGATACGCTAACAGTGTCTGTAACAGTTAGCAGCAATGTAAATAAAAACATATAGAATGTCATTTTAAATTATATTAAAAATTGAGCAATGAAAAAGTTAATAACTGGATATCCCTCTCCCTTTAAAATTCCCTTTAAAATTCCCTGCAATATGAATTCCCAGACATCTTAATTTTATCATAACAGCCTCTATACTCAAAAAATGATTAAAATAAAGTTTCACATTTTTAGCTGTTATTTCTGTTGGCTTCATAATAAATTACTAAAAAGGATTAAAATTCTGTTTCAAATGTAAATATTCAACGTATAAATAAGAGATTCTTCATAAACTCACCAAGTCTGAACACAGAGAATTCACTAGGAAGAGTTCATTTTCGAAATAAAAAAGTATGTGTTTAAGAAAAAAAATAACAGTATGTTAACTACTATAAAATTAAAATAATTTACTTCATGTGCTACCTAAAAATTAAAAATTAATAGTATTTAAAACTTAAACACAGTGAATAAAAGGTTTTTCTCATCATTTTTTAAAAATTACATTGTTTCATTGAATAATTGAGTACATGATCAAAAATTTTTTACTAAACAGTATATATACAATGAAATCAATGTGTCAAGTAATTGAAGAGATATGTAGATAAGAATCACTTAGTTTCTTTCCAAATTTATAATTCTATCCAATATCTGTCTTTTAGAATTTCAAAAGCTTTTAATCTATAAAGATTACTCATTGGATTAAACCTTATACAAACTCAAAAAATAAAAATCTCTATTTATTAAAGTGAAATTGTGCACTTTTGTCTGCCTATTTCTGCTCTTTTGAACGTCTAATTGATATAATGTGCAAATTAATCCCTTGGCGTCGTTTCCGGTTGCTTGTTTTTGTTAAAGCTCTAAACTTTTATTATAGTTCCGTTTCGATGTAGAAGAAATAAGCAACTTTAAGCTTTCCCATGAATTATCAAGTTTCTGTTGATAATCATTCAGAAACTTCAGTCAATTAATAAATATTTTCAATGGAAGATACAGCTAGTACAACCACTTCCATTGACGATAAAACAGATGATTGTGCTGATTCTCCAACAAGAGATGCCTTAGCAGAAGGGTTAATGGAACTTTTAAGACCGTCTGTCGAACAATTAGACGACCATGTTAGATTGACTCTGTGAGTGGTACATTTCTTTTTCTTAACAGATATATTAAATAACGTTTCTAATATTAATTATATAATATAAAAACATTACCTAAAATTGTGTTATTTTAACGCTAATTATTCATCTGTTTATTGTTACTTAACTATCCGAAAAATATACTACCCGAAAACAACAATTAAGTATTTTGATAATAAATCGACTATTTGTATACTTTTATGAAGTCATAAATATTATTCTGAAAAGTATTAGACGCATATTTTCGATTTGAAATGGAAGATGATGATCTAATTAACAAGAGAACGGGCAATATAAAGCCACCGCAGTTAGAGACTCTTATTTCGTTTATGGAAAATCATCCTAATTTGGCCGTTGGAAAGAAAGACAATTTATCGCCCGAAAAGAGAAAAGCCTTGTGGAATGACCTGTATTTTCAACTAAATGCTGTTGTTGGGGGTACCCGAAAAAATTTGGACCAATGGAAAAAAGTAAGTACATTTTTCATTTGTTATACTCTAACATATAGTTTAGTTTTTATTACGGAAGTACTAACTATTATTGTTCTAGGGGAGAATTCATTTAGTTGAAAAAATATTTAAAATTGCCTCTAAAAAAATTGGAACAAAGTGCAATGCCTTTTTAAATAAAGTAGCACCTTAAATGAAACACTTAGAAAGTTATAATTTGAATAAAATACATTTTACATAAAAATAAAGTTAGTCATCTAAAGTATACAGCAAAAAAAAAAAAGAATTATTGAGACTCATCTAATTTTATGGTTACTGTCCTTCGCCAACTTGTCAACAAAAAGAGCAAACAATAACAAAAGAGCACTTCAAAATATGGTCTAACTTTCATTTATACTTAATTTAGATATCCTTAAAGTGAGTTATAATAAAAATACCTTGGTTTTTAAGAGTCATAACGTATTTAGTATTTTACCTATTTATATCAAATTAATCACTTTTGAAAACTATAGTACCTGCATAATAAGTTCTGATCTATATAGGCGCTCTAAAAATTGCATTTCCACAATACAATTGTTGGATACCAATTATAACAGTGCCATTTATCGCAATGGCAATTAAGAAACATTCTTCGTTTTTACCGCCTATCACAATAATTACCTATGCAATTACTAGCATTTTTTAACTCTGAAAAAAGTTATATTTGCATAAAGTTATATAATTGCATTTTAATTTTTTTAATAGCTATATTTGTTTTGAATAGGTTTTTAAGAACTAAAATGCAAAAGATTTAAATCTTTTGACACTTTTGTTAACTAATACCAGAAAGATTATTGTATACCTGAAAGATTACAAAAAGTACAAAAAGTCTTCCAATTTTGGGCACAACCTAGCAGTGGCACATGAGAAACTAAATAAACATTGAAAGGGGACCACCATGTAGAGTTTAACTTACAGCCATCATCAATTTTACTACATATGTGTATATAATAGTTATAGTATATACACATACATTATAATGTATTTTACAAATACATAATCCCTTTAGCTTTTTCGCAATTCAGATTCTAATACAGAAATATGCCTGCGCATAATACCTCTTCATTTCGGAAATTTAATATTTTAATTTTTTTCTTAAGATTTCAAATTTAATGTATAAAACATTCATAAAATTTCTTATGCTAGACATAATATAGGTGCATAATAAATTTTTGTTTGGAGAAAAGCTCATGACAATTCAACATCCCTCTTTACTATTAATCAAAGAAAGAGAGAAAAAGAAAATATTAAAGTATAGCTAAAAACTTATAAATAGTACTCTTCCTTTTTTTTTATTTTTCTTATCTTAATATTCTTGCAATCTTTATTTGCCTGTTATTATTAAATATAACTATGTTATTTTTATAGTCTTGGAATGATCAGAAAGCAAAAACTCATGCAAAGGCTATGAAGCTTATTGAAACTGGAGGCAACAGCACATATCTAACGCATCTAGAAGAAAGAATACTCAAGATTTTATCATCCACTAATGAATTCAAGTCTCCTCAACCTTCTTCTGATATTTTCTTAATTCCCGAAACAGGCATAGTTTTCTCAGTATGTATTAAACCTGTATTCAATTAAAACTTTTGTTACAATCATAATTGAGGGAATTGCTAAAGAAATATGTTTTACAAATTAAATTACTAAAAATATATTTTGCAAAACAATTTATACTAAGATAGCTCTATATGCACATATTTTTATTTAAAAAAAGTGTAAGCAAAGAATATGAGCCAAGCTTTTTGGTATTTTAACATTTCTAAGAGGATTTTTATAGTATTTAATTAAATAAAAAAAATTTAGTGTGACTTTCAAATAAAAATAAAGGATAATTTAAATAACACACACAGAGACTGTTTTTTTGTTTTTTGAAATAAGAGTTAAATTGAAATTTAAATCATTCATAGACAAGAATAAAAATTACTTCTAAAAGTGAAGTCCTGTAACTGCACTTAGAAAGATAGTTTGTAAGGTTGAATAATCAATGTTCCAATAATATTTTTACAACTCTTGTAAAAAAAAACTAAACTATTAGATTTATAGATTATTAGATATTAATATTTATAGATATTATTAGATTAAGCTATATTTCAAGAAGAAATCATTAGTATTATCTACCATCACTATTCAGAAAAGCTGGCTTAAAAAGGTCAAAACCAACTTAACTGCCAGATGAAACTAAAGGGATTCCTCCTTTGGACTCTTGTTTTGATAAAGCATGTTTTGAAGCCTTTAATCTTGCCATCGTTATTAAAAATATTATAACTCATTCCGTTAAAGTGCATCAAATTTCATATAGGTTTAAATTATGTGTTCTTTGGGCTGCATAACTGTCGAGGAAAGTAATAATTATAGTTTAGAGAAAATTGTGTAGTATTAAGATTTATCATCCAAATTTTATTATAGCAACCAAACTTTAAAAAAAAGGGAAGAAAAAAACATTGTTTTTACTTTATCCAAGTATTTGATCAGCTCTAATTAAAAACGATTGTAACTTTTTCTTTACTTTAAAATTTTGTTTTGTCTATGAATAAATAGAATCCTTATAAATATAAATATTAATCTATGGATAAATATGCAGCAAAGACACAGTCAGTTCAATATCACAGATTTTTTTTTTTAGTCTTGTAAACTAACTTTCCTTTCACTAAGTTTTTTTTTTCCCTCAAATAATCAAAACATTATTTGGATAGCAAATTTATATTACTTTCACCTAAAACTTAATCTTTGAAAATTTAAAATGTTTCAATTGATTTGTATCATTTTAATGTTTAATATTATTTAAAAGAAAAAGAATCCAAAAATGTGGATGCCCTGGTTCCTTAGGATCCTTAGTGGTATAATGGTTTAATGACTATTTTTCCTGTAATCTGCAATGTATATAATTTTTGTCTTAATTTTTCTAAAAGATTTTAAATATATATATAAAGAAAAGTGATCAAAGAACAGCCAGTCTAATACTTATAAATGTTGTTTTTAAAAGTCCGTGATATAACAAATTTTTCTGATGTCCATTTTGCTGAGGATTTGCTTTAAACAAAAAAGTTTAATTTATTGTTAGTGATATTGAAAGCAGAAATCTGTTACCATTATTATTTGCCAATTAAAAAATAGATAGCTCATTAAATAAATTCTTCATTTAACTGTGCTATATTTTAACTTAACATCTATATTTAAACTAAACCTAATCAATAATTTTAGTTGCCGATAGTTGCACAGGATGCAAGTCAATCTTCAGTGTCAAATGCTCCTTCCACTTCCCAAGAGGCACCAGATGCACCTCTGTGTGATCCTTTAATGTCAGAAACAAGCAATATTTCAGCCACAGAAGGTCTCCCTAATGTAGCTGTTGCTGTATCTTCTGAAGAAATTTCTCTAAGTTAGTATTGTGAGTTACTTCATTCACAGGGTGCTTAGCATTTTTAAAAAGTGCTTAAAGGTGCTTTTTTTATTTACGTTTTTAAAAGCGCTTAAAGGTGCTTTTTTTATTCGAGTTTTGTAAAAAAGTGCTTAATTTTTTATCTTTTCAAAGTTTTTGAAAATGTTTTTGAATTTATTGATTTTATGTTTATAAATTAAGCACTTTAAAAGCTAGAAAAAACTGTTTTTATTGCTGCACAGATTCTAATTGTGTTTGTTTTTTGTTTTGTTTTTTTTTTTGAAAATGATTTAATTGTTTTTGAGTTCTTTAAAGGTGCTTATTTTTCGTTGAAAAATCTGGCTACGCCCCCTTATTTAGCTATACCTTAAAATTAGAGTACAATTGTTACCAACTGGATTGCAATTACTAGATGATTTGACTTTTTCTGGAAATAAATCATATATAAAAAAATTAGACTTTTTTGAAATGATATATTGTACACAACTAAAGAATAAATATCTACATTAAATCTGACAGCTTTTAAGTCAAACAGTTTAGCTTCAATAGGCCTTCAAATCTCAACTACATAGTCATATCTCATATTCATCTATATTATGAAAAGAAGTGGACTAAGTAGGAAAACTTAAGCAAAATATAAAATCAAATGAAAAAGTAAAGATATTGACATTGTGAGAAATGAATATTTTTAAAATAAATAGGTATTATTTAACATTAAAAATTTCAGTCTTTATTTTGTCTGAAATGTTAACAAATATTTGTTCCTTTAAGCTTTTTATTGACAAACAATTATTGTTTATCTTATTACTTTTAAATAGTAACAAAGAAAATTTACCATCAATTTTGCTTCAGTCTTTAGTCAATATCTAGTCAAAAGAAACTTGTTCCTCTGTACTAATTCAAAAAATAAATGTGTACTCTTGGTTTGCTGAATTCTCTAGCTTTGGAGGCAGCAGTATTGATCATGTTATGTACAACATAGATGATCAAATGATGTCCAATTTTTGTTGTTTTACTTGCATCAAACTGTTTTAATAAATTGTAATGAAATCCAGTCTAACAGTAATATGTAAAATTTTCAATAATATAATACTTTTATATTAGCTTAACAAATCTCAATGGCTTCTCAAAAATCTTATTATCCTCTAAAATCCAATTTAAAAAGAAATTTAGCAAAGTTAATTATTTAACTCCCCTCCAATTACTGATCTAAATTCAACTAAAAGCTTTAGAAACCCGCAAAACTACTATGATTCAGAAATTTATGAATTTGGAAAGGAAAAATTTGACTCTTACGATCCATAAAAGTCCAACTCTCATTAACTCTGTTCTGTGATATACTATTTTAATAGATTCAATAAATTTTAAAAAATATTTTAAGAAATTAAATTATAAATGCAAATTATATTTATTCAGGCATGTTGTTCTTCTGCTAATTTGCGGTTTTCCACATATCTCAAAATTACTTATATTCTGACTAAATATTTTCAGAGTTACATTAACCTAAAATATGAATTTTATTACTTATGCAAAACTCGTTTTCAATACATTTATTCCTCCTTTACCAGCATCCTCTGTTTAAGTTGTTGTTCATGTGCAATAAAGTTTTTTTTATGCAGATTTATTAGTAAAAAGCGCAACTTGGAATTAGTTTCAGAAGCACAAAAATGAAATAAATTCCATCTAAATCCAGTCGTCTAAAATTAAGGAACTACTGAGGCTGACACAAAAGCATAAAGTTGATAATCTAAAAAGTCATTTCTAAATGGGAAACATTTTTAGATCGTTCAATAGAAATACATTGGAATTTAGTTTGTCGGCATTCGTATCATTTCATCATAAATATGCACATTTTTATCATCAATCTTTTTTCAGTTATTGCTGTAAATTTCAAAATTTTTTAATTTTTATGCAATGATGGTTTGTAAAGTGCGATAAAGGAGGAATATGTTTTTTTTTTTTCAGCGTATTTATTTTTTTAAGCGTGCAAAAAAAAAAAAACTTTTGGATTAAAAAAAATATTCTCTCTTTAATTTTTTATAAATGTTACATTTGTTCGTAAAAATGACTGTCTTTCATATACAAAAAGAAATTAAGTATTAAACATTGAGGAAAAAAAATTCACATTTTATCTTCGACCTGCAATCACATGCCTGCTAACATTTTACAATTCTTTATTTTTGTAGTATTCAACTGTTTTTCTTAGATGCTGATATATGGATTGCCTTCTAAAAACTATTCAACTCCCTAGTGCAGGGGTGGCGAACCAATGGCACGCGACACAATGTTTTGGGCACGCCACCGATCACAATTGTTATTGCACTGTGAATTGTTATCACACAAATGTCACACACTATGAAGCATATGTAACAATTAAATTAAAATTCACAAAAACAAACAAAATAATAAACAATTATTAATAAAAAAAATTAACAATTAATGCTGAAAGAACAATTAATAACCATAAAAAAGAAGCTAACAATAAATAACTAGCAGAAAAATCAACAGTCCTTCTTAAACTAATATCTTACAACCTAATATAAGTTATTTGTCATTTAATCTGCAATAACAGAAGTCCCGCTGATGCTACTTTAAGTCGAATTACGCGTACAGCTGAGACATTGCAAATTGTATTTTGTTTTCAATGTAAATAAAGAGTTTTGAGTTGATAGTATTTAGTATTATTATTTTCCCAATAATCGTGAAGTCAAAATTATTTGACGGCACGTCTGTGATTTCATTAATCCATTTTTTAGAAGAAATGGCATGTTGGTGTATAAAGGTTCGCCACCCCTGCCCTAGTGGCTCATTCATGCAAGCACAAATATCATTCGCATTTTTTATATGTATGTTTTGTTTTCATGAGTTCATAACCGAACGCCCTTTCACTGTCTACGAATGTAGTAGCATGAGTGCAGTAATGTGCACTATGTTAATGTTATTGAGCTCAGCTGCTGTTAATCAATTCTTTTTAAAATGAAATATCAACTATTTCTTCCTAATTCGTGTCCTTACATTGAGAACTTTTAAACATTTTCACACTGAGATTACTTCAGGTAGATCTTAATCCTGTTCATCACCCAATTGTTTTTTTTTTTTTTTTTGGACAAGTTTAGATTTTTTATTTCTGTGTTTGTGTAATTTGATAGAAAGTTTAAAAAAAAAAAAAGCTTCACAATTCTTCAAAAACTCTCACAATTTGGTATTCCACAACATGTATTATAACTTTCTTTCTTTAACAAATATTTTTATTTCCTTAGCTGATGACAGACATACATTGATGAATTATAAGCCACTTCCAGAAGCTGATACTCCAGTTGTTACTTTGTCTTCTGATATTCCTAGCATAAGTAAGTTTCCCTTTTTTTTTGTTGATGTTTGCTTTTTTAATTATAATAAAAAAATATTTATTTCATCCTTTTTTTTTCACCATTAGTTATACAGGAAACACAAGCAAAAAGAAATCTTATCACAGAGACTACAAAATCTGTAACTGAATGTTCTGTGGAGGATATAAAATCTGTAACTAATTATCCTGCAGAAATCTCAGAATCCATAAATAATCCATCTTCTACTACAGTGTGTAATCCGTCCATTGCAGCTTTTGGGAAAGGTGAGCCAATAATAATAAATCTTGTAGTTTAGTGGGATCTAAAATAAAATCATGAGTTTTAGAAAATTGAAATTCTGTTTTTTCATGATTTTTCTTGGTCGGTTAAACATATAATCCCTATTTTTAATAATCATTTTAATATACATATCACATTAGCTGCTTAATTCACTATATATTTTTTTTCTAAAAATTTTTTTTGTTCGCTACTTTTGAAAGCAGAAGAAATTTGTGCCATCTATTTGCAATAATCATTCTTGATTCATGAAGATAAATTCAAGAATGGCTCTGTTATAATTGGATTCTGTAATCTTATCAATTGGAAGACTGTATGTGATACTTTGTAAATTATATAACCATAACTCAAGATGTGCCATTTTTAAATATAAAAAATTAATCATAGTGGGGGATTTATAAATCTCTTTAGGGAGTTAAAAGAAACAACCATTCTACAGTTAATGTACATAGTCTATGTAGAGTGTAATGTATTAAGTACAATGCTGAGTAATTTTCAGCATGGAAAAAACTTTTAAACACTGGTATTTTTATTACTTGGTAACAAACAATGTAACTTCCTACATTTTTTTTTAAACTTTTTATCAATCACAATGTAATATATGTTGATGCACTCATTCATTTTATGATGATAACTATATTTTGTTATTTTTACTCCTACTTCATATCTTAGAAAAATCACATTTTGGTGTTTGATAATCTGTGCTCATTTGAAAAAAATTCTTCAAGCTTACTTGATTTTTTCAATTCAATTTTATTTTAAGTTTATTTTGCTCTTTTACATTAGAATAAATGTTTGTTTTTTTTTTTCTTTTTACTTAATTTGTGTTTTTTTTTTTTTTTTTTACGCAACTATTTTTTTGCTACGGCTTATATGAGTTTAAATATTAATTGATTATGCCAATTTTACTTGTATGAATTGAAACAAATTGCAGAATTGATATACACATTGAAAAAAAAATTTTAAAAAAGAGTTCAGCAAAATTTCAAAGAATCAGATTAAAATCCAATTCTATTCATACAATAGACTCATTATTTTTCTCATAATTACACGATCTACACCAGATACAATTGATTATTACCAGATTAATTCTCTATGTATACCAGAAAATATATACCAAATTAATTCTCTACAGTGGATATTTATTTTGAGTTTTATCTCATCATTATAAAACTCTAAGATAATTATAAAATATATATATATATAGTTTTATATAATATATAATTATGAATAAAATAACAAATATTTACTAAAAATTATTTTTTTGCTTGGAATTACCTTTGGATAAACAAATTTAGATGAACAAATAATAAAATTGTTTAATTTTTTAAATTTTCTTAAAATGTAGAAGATTCAATCATTAAATAAAAAGTTATTCAGGGATTTTCCTTTTTTTGCTCATTGTACATATGTAACAGCATTTATGTTTAAATTTTTTTAGTTATTTATTAACATGCAATTAATTTTTTTTGTTTGTTTAAAAATACACATCCAAAAAAAGCTCCTTTATCTAGCTTAATAGCATATTTAAAAACTACTAATGTTTTTATTTTAACTTATTACATTATTTCCCGACTTTACACCTTTAGAACTTTCTCAAAAATAATTAAGAATTTAATTACTATCAAAATATCGAAGGTAATCACTCGTAATAATTTCAAACATAGTTACAGTCAGTACCGTCTATATGGTCACCCTCTTATAAGGTCAGCCCGCTTATATGGTAAATTTTTTAAATTCCCGTCTAACTTAATAGGAAGCACGTGTTAAAGCTCACCACTTATATGGTCATCCTATTTTTCGAGTTACCGGTTATATGGTCAGTTTCCTTTTTTTTTTCTTTTGAAAAAAGATACATTTTAAGACATTTCTTTAGACAGGAAGACAAGAAAAATGACCAGNGAAAAATGACCAGTAGGTAAACACATTCCTTCGACCCCCGGAGAGAACTGGAATTTTCCCCTCTATTTTGTCACCCTACCCTCGTTTCTCTTTTGCATTCATTAATGACCTTACCCTCTCCTCATTTGACCACTCGCATTCTTTTCCCCGCCCAAGGGCAAAAGGTCTTTTGATCGTTTGAAGTTATCTCTCAGAGCTTAAAAAGGAGTTGAAGTTGAGAAGTAAAATAACATTTTTATTGGATTACTGAACGAATAACCTATCCATGCTTTCATTATGGCTTCGAAAAGAAATAGTTTAACAATATCGGGAAAAAATTTATTGGTTTAAAAGTTTAAAAAGTCTAACCTTTCAAAAGTTACTTTTGCCAAAGAAAATTCTATTCCGCAAACAACATTTAACAGCCAAACGTAGCTCTCCAGATGTTTCAATTAGCGACCGAGAAAGAAAGCGTCAGCGGGTGTCACCTTATGAGAATGTGGAGAAGGCTCTTCTGTCATGGATCAAATATGCACGATCACAAAATGCTCCTATATCCTGGAATATTGTAAAAAAAAAAAGCTTTAGAAATAGCTAAAGAACTTGGAAAATCAAATTTTGTTGCAAGCAATGGCTGGATACAGTGATTCAATGCTAGAAATAACCTATTCTTTAAGAAATTGTGTGGAGAAGCTGCTGATTTTGACAACAGTTCTTTAAAAGAATGGAAAGACGTAGTGTTGTGAGATATTCATGAAAGATATGAACCTGCTAACGGGTTCAACGTCGATGAATGTGGACTTTTCTATAGGATCTTACCCGACAGAACCCTTTGCTTCAAAGGATAAAAGTGTATAGGTGGAAAGAAAAGTAAGGAACGCTTAACTTGGTTATCTGCAAACATGGATGGTTCGGAGGAAATGATTCCTTTGGTGATTGGAAAATTTCTGAAACCGAGATGCATGAAAAATTGTAAATCTTTGCCCCTTTTGTACGATGCCAATTCCAAAGCATGGATGACCCAAACGATTTGAGAAAAAACTCTCAGGAGGTGGGACCTACATTTTTCAAAGAAAAACAGAAAAGTTGCATTGATTGCTGATAACTGCACTGCTCACTGTCCTGTTGAGGGCTTGAAATCGATTGAGCTCGTATTTTTGCCTCCAAACAGCACATGTGTGTTGCAGCCTCTAGAACAAGGCATGATTCAAAGCTTCAAGTCTATGTATAGAAAGCTTCTTCTACGGGATATGATCACCGCCATAGACAGAAGAAGAATTTCACGTTTCAGTTTTGAACGCACTGTTCTATATTGACCAAAGCTGGAACATGGTGTCGTCGAAAACTATTGAAGATTGTTTCCGTCACGCGGGGTTCCACAGTTCTCCAGACTCTTCGGTATCATTAGAGGACCCTGAGGAAGATCTTCCATTACCTGAATTGGCGGAAAATCTTTGAAACCGAGGCTATGCAATGCCGAACGTAAATTTGTATTCCCAAATAGACGTTGATGTCCTCACTAATTGTGCAGCAACTGTGGAAGGCATTGTATCTAATGTCTTAAATCTGAATGCTGAAGGAAGTGACGATGAGGATGATACTGAATGCAATAAAAAGTCTGTGTCAACAGCTGATGCTCTTAAGGTGTTTTTTTGCAAATTCAGATGCAGCAGATGAACATTTAAAAACTATCAGAGACTTAGAAAAAGTTGTTTTAACAACCAAGACGAAGAAACAGACAAGCTTATTGGAATATTTTTTTTGAACATGTACATATGCTACGGTAACGAATTAAATTTTTCTAAAAGTATAAAAATTATTTTCGCATTATTTCTTATTATGCACCTTAATAATTAATTTTTAAAAGTTGAATTATTTGTTTAAAAAATACATTCTGATTCCAGAATATATTCACGCCATATTAACTATACTATATATTTGGTTATCGCATATATGGTCACACCGCTTATATGGTCATAATATTCTGGACCCATGAGCTGACCATATAACCGATACTGACTGTACTATCAAAAACAGCTTCGCCTTTCCAATTCCCAGACTCATTAGACCTACCTATTTTATGTCTTAGAAAAATCAGAATTGAAATAGCTCCTTATTAGTTAAATAAAAAAATGTTTTGTGTATAAAATGTAAATCTAATGTGTTTAAATATTTTGTTACTATAAATTGTATAATTGTATTAGTAGTTGAAATAGTTTGTTGAAAATTCGCACACAAACTTATCTATTGAAACTTATTTGCTTTTTTTGTAGTATTTTTTCTAAACATTTATTGATTTCTTTTTTATAAAAGTTTTAGAAATACTCTTAAGATTTGAGTAATTGAACAATTCTAACTTACTCAATTTCCCCCTTGAAGCAAAAAAATTTGAAATAAAATAAAAATTTACAAATTTGTGAAAAAAGAGGTAAAATGAAAGAATTTCTATCAGTTGATATCATTTTTCTTTAAATACCCACAACTTGCTTTCCTTGTACTAAAATATTCTTTTTTTAATCACTTCAGACCGCCGAAGAAGACGCAATCATAAAAGAAGCCATTATATGACTGCTGATAAAGCAGCTGAAACTTTTGGATATATTTCTCAAAGGAACTGTGCTGTGCTGGAAAGAATTGCTTCTGCAATGGAAGCCCAAGCTAATAGGGCTGCCAAACAAACTCAACTTATGCGAGAAATAATAGATGTTGTAAAGCAGAGATAATTTATGATGTCTCGTAGTTTGTGTTATTTTACACCAATAAAGAAATTGTAACAATTTTGTCAGCATTATTTATTTGTTTTGCAAAATACTTTCAAATTATTTAAATAGGCTAGTAACATACCAAATGCCCCAAAAAAGACCATTAATTTGAAAATTTTATTTAGAAAACAGAAATATACATTCATTATCTTCAAAATTATTTGTAAAGTTTAACAATCACTGTCTAAACTTAAAATAACACTAAATAAAAATCTGCAGCCAAAATTGAAAGGCACACTTGTAAATATTTCTACTGAAATTGTCTGCAGCAAAAAAAAAATTATTATTTTATAGTTTTGTTAGTCAGCAGTGCAATCCGTTGGCAAAATTGGAAGCAATGACTGGTTTTCTAGGCAAACTCTGCATTACAATTTTCATGCATTTTTCTTTCATTTATTCTTAAAATCATTCTTTCTTTTTTTTTTGACACACAACAAATGTAATGCAACGAAATGACACACAATTGTCTACTTTAATTAGAAAATGCACTTTGATATTTATTTCAACTTGTTTAAAATATAAGTATCACTCCAATATGACTATGTTAACCATAAATAATTTCATAAATTAATTTTGTTTTTTGAAGTGTGTAACAGATATAAATGCAGATGGGACTAGTTAGCTTTTATTTTCCGTCACTATTTTATGCTGATAAATGATAAACATGGTTACAAATGCTGATCTTGAAGTTTGTTTATTTAAAAATAAACAGATTCCTTTATAAAATATACACTAAGGGCTAACAGTTTATAATAAGTCTCAATTTCAGATTATTTTAGGTCAAAGGAAACCACAATTTCTATGTTGGAGATAAGATTCAGTGCTTTATGTTGTTATCTAGTGCAAATTTTAAACAAAACTATTTAAGTACCTAACTGGAAACATTACTACAGAACAGTTAGATGAGAAAATGTGAGCTTCGGAAAAAATATATCTTATTACTACATTTTCACTATCCATTCAATTGTAGGCTGCATTTTCATGAATAGATAAATGACCTATATTTTAAATGCTTATTAAAATAGGCTCAAATGAAACTTATAAGCATAGCTGACATAAATCCGTATTTATTTGTGGTTTAGGAGTGAGAAGAAAAAATGAGTTTACTTAATAAATGTTCTCAAAAACTTTAAACTTCTAAATCCTATTTCAAAAATATTTTGAAAATGAAAGATTATGTTTATTGAATGCGACATTTAATATTTTATTGAACAGCTGATCTTTCAAAAGAAACAATTTTTTCTGTTTATAAAAGTAAAACCATATTTTTCTTGTCGAATTTACAAAGACTATGCATTTTGCTGTTATCAGAATGGACGGAGACTGTACCACTAAAAGAGTTTTCGATGCAAGACCAGTTAGCACACGAAAAAGTGGCAGGCCAAATTTGAGATGGTCTAGAAAAAGACCTTTCGGTCTTAAAAACTAGAAGACACTAGCGGTAAAAAGGTTATCCTGGAAAAACCTTCTTGAAAAAGCCAAGGCCCACCCTGCGCTGTTGAGCCATTAATGATTAAACAATTTTCTAAATATTAGTCCCATCATAAACTTCAAAGTATGCATGTTAATAGACTTTAAAATATGCAAAATTCTTTATTCAAAATAGTAATTGAATGTACTTAGTAATATGAAAAATAATGAGGATGAAAAACGAAATGTTTCGAACAGTAAAAAAATAGGCGTTCAATTCATGCCAATTGAGTCTTGAAAACAGGTATCTATTTTTTAAGATCAAAATGCATTGTTTTTTTACTACAAGTTTTTGTATTATCAAATACATATTTTCCCTTCTCATATTTTCAATTTCTTGAGGTTATTTATTTAGAAATTAAATAGTTTTAATAAGTTTTAGTTATGAGTAAATGTTCTTTATATTTGTATGAACTAACGTTTTTGTTTATTTCTTTTTAGATTAAGTCAAAAAGATTTGAGGCATCAAATTGAAAGTTTATCAGATGGTAAATTATTTTCCTTTTTTAATTTCTTTCTCTGTAGTTTATCTAAATAAAAAATCTGTTTAGTTTTTAAAATAGATGTAAATTAATATAATTGATTTTGACTTAATTTTTATTTCACAACAAATACTATGTTCAGTAGTAATTATAACAATAAAATTTGTTTGACCATTTTCTTTTTATGCTATTTTGCTTTATAAGATACATATTACAACTCCTAATTTAGTTTTAAATAACAATTTCATTTATGTATATATGTTTGTTTCTAAATATTTATTTAATTTTGGTTTAAATATTTTTTTATGTTACGTTTATTTATTTTTTGTCTATGAATATTTATCTGGAATAAAAAAAAAATCTTCCTTACAAACTATTTTTTTAAGTTGAATAATTTTTTTTGGAATGTTCAAAACACATTAATAACAAAATATTTTTTTCACCAATTTAACTAATATGGTTAGTTATGAGTACTGATTATTTTGTATAAATACTTTATTTTCTAAATATGGGAATGCATTTACAAATTCTATTTAACAAATTGCATTGCTGCCAACTGTATATGATTTTGCCAGTTCCTCTTGCATTAATCAAAAATTGCTCTAGTGTTAGTACTTTTTAAGAAAATTATCTAAAATTGGAAAAATTTCGAAAAATACCCTTATCAAAAAATATTTTTTTCGCAATTTATTGAATAAGTATTGCTCCCAAATAATTTTTAAAAAATAGTTAGAATTTTTTTTTCAGGTCAAAACGAAAAGAACATTTCTTACATTTTTCAGTTCTTTGTTCAGAAATTAATTCAATGTCTATTACTCTTTAAATTAATTATAATTTGAAAAATATAATAAACATATTAAAAATGTTTTATATATATTTCAGAAAGTACTAGATTTTTATTTATATGGGCAGCACTTTTAAAAGAAACATCCTATGTTATTTACTTAAACATTTTTTTACTAGCAAGTGTAATAATTACATTAGTTTTACTATAAAATTTTACTCTGTTAGCAACATATGTAATTAAGGGTTCAATTCAAGAATATACTAGGTAATATTTTAATACACTTGAAACAAATCAACTTCAAAATATTGAGGTAACATAAAAAGAACTAATTTTAAAACATCTTTTTCCTTTATATCAATTTTGTTTTAAACATGTGGCAGAAGCAATTAGTGTAATGCAGGCAATCATAACATTTTTTACCACGTAATATTCAGTTTTTTAATATAGTTAAAATACTTTAATTGGACTTTTTTTTTAACTTTTGGACCCTTTCTATCTATCATTGAGAATATAAAATTTACTTAAGGACCAGCAAATTTGAAAGCAATAGAAAATATTATTTTAAAATAAATTATTTTTCTTTTATCACAGAACAATAATTTCTACCTAAATTATAGTAAAATATATAATTACACCTTAGTTAAATAGTTTTAGATAGAATTTAAAAATCTTGTTTTGTAACTCTGTCATTCTAGATTTTTGACTACTTTAACTAGTTATTGATATCAAAACTCTATTTATCACATAAAATGTATTATTTTGTCTGATGCAGTTTAAACAGCATGCTTAGGTACTGTTTTACATAGTACTGATCTGTCTTATTTTCAGAACTGAGGCAAATTTCAGAAACGTACAGTTCAATGTTTGACCTTGATGTTTATGTAAAAAAACTGATGAATGCAAAACGACGTGTCATGCTTGTCAATAACATTCTCCAAAATGCACAGGTATGATATTTCATATTGTTTTAAGTAATAATTACAAAATATTTATTTTAAGAATAAGTTAATTGATTTTTTTTTTTTTTGTATTTTATTGGTCATATATTTTTGTCTTAAGAAAGTGCATATTACTTTCTTTTTCCAAAAAACAATAAAAGTTATAATTTTCTGTACAATTCATTGACTTCCTCAGGTTAGGAAAATTTGGGAAAACCTGACTTTGCCAGGTATTTTATTCGCATCTAATTCTGAAAAATTTGCATTTTAAAAAAATTTTTAAATCCTATATTTAGAATAGGGGTCTGTTTAGAAGAAATTTAGATCCATTAATGGACCCTTCACAATATATTTTAACTTAAGAACGGATCCTTCACGAAATAATTTATCTTTTAATCGGATCCTTCACAAATTTGTTTATCTTCATTATTGTTTTGTTAATCGAATAAACCCTTCCCAGGAAGGGGGGAGGGAGAAGGATAAATGTAAACAAATTAAGTTTTGTCTTCGGCAGACGCTTCTTCCTTTATTTGTCCGAAATTAATATTCTACTTTCAGCAGTATAGGCTAAATTCCAGATCTTTGCATGTTGCATCTCTAATTTAGTAGCAGCAATTGCTGTTTGCTTTTGAAAATGTATTTTTTTTTACTATACTTTTACAGTGTTGAACATAATCTTGTATCTATTTACAATTTAAAAACTTCTTGAAAAAGTTTTTTGCTATAACAGGACCCTATTTGCACAAATTCAAAAACGCAGGACCCTGGTTAAAAGAATTTGACTTAACGTTTATTTTATATTCACAAATGACGAGTAATTTTTTCGCAATTTTACAAAAACAGGACCTTTCACAAAATGTCTGGACAGACCCTTGTAGAAACAACTGTCAGTAACCGTACTCGGTGAAGGGAACACAAGAACAATTGTTTCGGGGATCAGAACTGTTGGAGATATTGAAATTCCTTACATTAAGTGTAAAATTAATCTATGACAAGTGGGATGAGACTGGGTAATGGGGTTAAACTGAGTACACCTTGAATCTGGAAAAATTACATCTGCTTTTTTGTGAACAGACCTTGAATTACATTCTACTTAGTAAGAAGAAGGATTTGTCATATTGACTTATTCTTGTTGTTGAGTTCATAACATATGTAGAGATAAGTTCATTTTACTGTGTCAACTCTATAACGTTCTTTTGTATTTAAGCTATCCTTATTTCTTGATCATTACAGTTATAAAAGATCTCTTTGACCCAGTTTATTATACATTCATCAAAGATTCCTCTCGTGCATGCTTGCTCTACTCGTTCCCCGAGATGCGGACTCTGGTCCATATCGAGGAGATCTAGTTTTTTACAACTTTTTTTTTGTTAGCCTTTATTTTAAATTAAACCCTTAACTGTAATCAATTTCTGTAAATTAAATATCTACATTTTTACCTTTAATTTTCTTTATTAAAAACCTTCTCAAATTTTAGCTTTCTTTCTATATTTAACTACTTTTTAACAGTTAAATTCCTCTTTCTCTTATATTTTATTTTTATGCATGACGCCGTTTTCTCTGTATTCTCTTGTCACCCATTTCTATTAAAAGCAGTCCTAATGTTTAAAATATACCAATGATATTTTTCCACTAAATGTATTGCGAGCTTGTTTGTTTTTTTAAATAAATGTTCAATGGAAGTTAAAAGTGTGTGTGTTCATTTCTTCATTTGCTGTTTTTGTTACATTTTTCCTCCTGTACGTGGTGAGTACTTTTTTATTGCTATGGGTATTTGTTTTTCTCTCTTTGGAAACATCACTAAATTGCACTGAATGTTATATTTATATTTAGATATAGCATGTCATTATCTTATTTATCTTTTAATCTTTGATTTTGATTAATTTTTAGTTTTCACCCTTATTCTAAATTTGGTGCTACTAGTTTTCTCCAATATGTTCAACCCTCACACTTTGTGACCTTTTGAACCTATTGGGTTATTGCTATCCCACGATTGCATCAAACTCCCCTTAATTTAATTATTTTTTTATACTATTTTCGGCCATAATTTGTTTATTAAACAATTCAATCATTACCTATTTTTTTATCATGACTATATCCAAATATATGTACTTACAATATATCAACCCATTATCTATCTGATATTATTTTAATATATAAATAAATTTACTTTATTGGCACTGCCATAATATATATTTAATAATTTTAAATGTAACACAGTAGTAGCATTGTCCTGTTTTGTTTCTGTAACCCTTACTCTCAGATTAAGATTGGGTACGGCAAGATGGAGTATGCCAGGGTACTACCCTGTAAGCCGATAGAGTATCAGGATAAAGAAAAGGAAAAAGAACATTTTTAAGAAATGTGCTAGCGTGGAGGTTATTTTGCTTTGTTTAAAAAGAAAGGAAGACCTCAAAATAAAATGACCAAAAATTAAAACAATTTTATCAAAAATCTTAATACTTTATTGATGTTACTTCTGATGAGGACTGTAAAAACTCATCAAATGTTGAATTTTTTAGATTGTAATGATGTACAGTAGAGCGTCGATTATCCGAACTGCTCGGGACCGAACGTGGCTCGGCTGATGAACGGGGTTCGGATGATGAAAAGTTCGGATAATTGGAAAGTTGTTTAAAATCTAATTTAAATGATTATTATTTATGCACTAACTTCCCTTCACACTTTTTCCAGGTTCGGGGGGTTTCTAAAATAGCTCTGTTCAAGAGGATTTTTTTTTTTTTTTCAATTTTTAAATATTTTTTACTTTTTTCTTCTTTTTTTTTTTACTTTTCTTCATTTTGAATTTTTTTTATCATATTTCAGCATTTTATAATTTCTTCTGTCAATTACTGATTTTACCACATTTTTCTTTATTTTCTATAGCAAAAGAAATCCAGCAGAGACTTGTTTCAACAGGGTGCGTAGCATTTGTAAAAAGTTCTTAAAGGTGCTTTTTTGGGGATTTCATTTTTAAAAGCTTTTAAAGGTGCATTTTTCAGCTGGCGTTTTTAAAAAGTGCTTTTTTTTCCCGAATAATTTTTTTTCCCTTCAGTGATATCTGGTGGATCCCATGCATTTCACGAAAAATGGGGTGTTTGCTACGTAATCATTCACGCGGACTTCATGTCCTACCCACGTTATGACTTGAGCATGCACGCACACTTGAAACCAAAACCCGAGTGCTCCAATTCAGATGGAGAATATCAGATCCTTATAAAAAAAATTTCTTTTTAATTTATTTTAATTTTATTAATGTTTATTTTATTTTACTTCTAACACTTTTTTGACATAGGGGGTGCGGGTACTTTTGTTCTGAGTTCAGGGTCAGGTTGAATTCACTCGATGATGTGGGAAAGTACTGATTGTTTCGATTTACGTCTGTTTCTTTTGGGAGTTTTTTAACTCTAAAACTGTTTATAAAAAGTTTTTGTTTTTCAATGATATCACTGATTGAATATGAATTTTTTGAGTGCTTGAAAATTTTTGTAAATTGCTTGAAAAGTTTTTAAAAAGTGCTCATTTTTGATTCAAAGATTTGGCTACGCACCCTGTTCAAAGAAGATACTCTTTTTTGAGCAGCCATATTCTTATTCTTTTTAAATAAATCAGCTGAACTGGATCAACATCATTTTGATGTACTAGCCAATTCATTACAATATCTAATGAATTGCATTTTTCTATATGAGAAGGTTCACTGTCTTGAACTTGATCACCTACTTCTTCCTCTTCGTCGGTGAAGCTCCGATTTTCATTCAAAAAATTCAGACACCAGTCTTCTATTTCTTCTGCTGCATAACCTGGCATCTTTTCAGCCGGTAGATCTACTGGTTCAGAAATTTAGAAAAATTTTTGATAAGTTAAAAAGTATTCTAAACTTTAAAAAAAAAAAAAAAAACGAATTCGGACATAGTTTGGATAATTGGACGTTCGGATAATCGGCGCTCTACTGTATTTTCTAACTCTAACAAAAGAGAAAGGAGGATCTAATGTGGAAAATGTTTTTGCTGGGCTTGTAAATGTTGAAGTGGAATAAGGGGGGAAAAAACAATTAATTTCACTTGGAAATTATGTACTTAATATTCTTAAATCGTCTTTTAAAATAAAAATGTCGGCTGCTTTTTCACTGAAATTCTAGTATTTCTAAATTTCCCGTAGAGTTCACATATGCAAACTGTCTTACCCTGTATGATTATGAAATTATTTAGAAAATTTGGTGAAATACTTAAGCTACTTGTCTAAAAATTAAATATTGGTTTACTGTAGTTTTGAAGTCTTAGTTTGTTAATTTGGTTTTTAAAAGTTTTCTTTAATTTTAGGAACGTTTGAATCGTTTACATCAAAGCATTGCACGTGAGACTCAAAGGAGAAAAGCTTTACTGGAGAACAACCCCACAGCAATTCAACCGTCTGCTTAAAGCACTTGATACGCAAAAGTCGAAGCAATTTTTTTGAATGATAGTAAATATGCTTTCTTCTTCAATCAGACATATTGATGCCAATATTTTATAATTTTAGAATAGAAATTTGGTTCTAAAACTGCAGAAACTTTTATTATAAGTTTAAATATAATTTTGCTTGAGACAGTTTTCTTTTTTTTTTAACATTAGTAAATAAACATAATTTTGTTAGCAACAGTGTTTAATATTTTATATTAAGGATTGTGCATCCATTTATTGAAGAGTACTGGAGAAAAAATATTTTGGCTTTGCGAGGATGGAATGAATTTAGTTTTTATAACAATTAATAAAACCTTATTCCTTACTGTAATAAAAAATATTAGTTCAGTAGTTCAATATTTTTGAAATAGAAAACGCTTGATAGTTTAAAATAAAAAAACACTTTAAGTTCCAAACGCTTAATATTAAGTATAACAGTTTTTAAACTATCTTTTAAAAAAAACTGAAAAAATTTTATTGTACATAAATTACCTGTATCTTTTGTTTTTAAATATGTCTTTGAGTTTTTTTTTTTTTGCTAAAATCAAGTCTTAATTTAAAGAAAACTTCTATTAAAAAGGTAGAAGTCTTCTATTAATGTAGAAAGATATATATTAACTAATTTTTTACTGAAAAGAAGGGACGCTGATTGATGAAAATTCCAAGACTTCAGGTTGTACACCCCTTAATTATATTAAAATATAAAAATTTGAAAATAACATGTTATATGCTATTCATAATTTTCAACGTTTCCTAAGCTTGTAATATCATTAAATTTAAATTTGCATGCTAGGTAATTCATTTTAAAAAATCATTGACGTTCAATTATCTTTATTGTTCTGTTATTTATATTTGTAGTGAAAATTATCTTACAAACTAACCTCATATTGCCAATTTTTTTTCATTAATGCTTCTGGTGTTTTCTCGTTAATTGTGACTTTTATTATTGTTTTTCCATTATATAGATATGTTTTTTCAGTAATATATTTTATATTTTTAAAATGTTTACTTGTAAAACATATCAGTCAATGTAATAAATCACTTGGTAAATAAATGTTTACAAATCAGAAATCTTAAATTTAAAAATGATTATTCAGACTTTGTTTTATGTATGCTGTGCATTTAATGTATGTCAGCTGTAAAGTATTTTACAGTCATCAGGTGTTGAGATGTTTGCTTTGTTACTTTGTTTAAAATTTATTCACAAACAAGATTATTGTTTATTATTCGGTTTGAGTAATATATTAAAAAGTTTATTGGAATTTAATTACTGTGATGATCGTAATCATATATTTATTGAAGTTAGATATATTTCTGCTGTTATAGTAATAGTACATATGTTATGCAAAATTCCTTTTTTTATGAATGGAAAAAAATTTATGTGAACATTTCTGTAAAATTGAAACAAAATTGGTTTATTTTTTCTAAATATCTTAGTACAAATAACTTCAATTCTTTTGCAAATTTCTATTTTACGATGCAATTTTTGTATCTGCTATATTTCTATATAGAATTAATTATATCTATTTTGTATATATTCAAAAAGGTTTCTATGCTAGTTTATATTAGTTATTTGAGCTTGTAAACACTTGAGAATAGATAGTTTATAGTTATAGCAGAAGATAACTTTTGGATAATATTCACAATTACTTCTCTAATTATTTTTATCAGTGGTTTCAAATAAATCTTTCTTTTATCAAATAAAATTTTATATTATTAATTTTATATCTGATATAATTTTTATTCTAAATCAGCATAATATATATGCTCATTTTTAGTAAAAATAAAGCAATAAATTAAAATGCAATAATTAAATTCAATGAATTTTTTTTCTAATCAAGTTATTTTATTTATTTTAGAAAAAAAAAGTTGTTAACATAGATGCTGCTATATATCAAAATCTCCAGCATCACACTCTTATGTTTCTAGGCTGAACTGACATTCCTTATTGATCATAGCTTCTATTGTATTGTTACTAACTCAATTTATTTGGCAGATGTATGGTTTTTTGTAAATTTTATTTGGTAGATATGTTTTTGTAAATATATAGTGATTAATTTACCTTCAAGTATTAAATTTGTAACTCTTTAATTAAAATGAATTATTCATTACCTAGTTTAGACAAATAAAGTACCAAAAAGTTCAATATATTGCTCTCATTCGTTAAATACTGGTTTCTAATATTTACTTCCTTTTTTATTCTTTTTTTGCTTGTTATATTTAGTTGTGAATTTCAGTTTTGTTCTCTTTAGACTGACCAGGCAAGAAAAAAAAATACCAGTGAAAATTTATTTTATGAAGTTTTTAAAAACTTTTTTGTGGTACATTGCTATTCTTGTACCGTTTATCACTTGAATTTTGAGTATCAAGTTAAAGAAATTCACTCTCTTTCTCAAGAAGTAACTGGGTAAAAAATTTTGCTAAAATTAATGAGCTCATATCGTATTTAAAAATTAATTAGGATACATTTTTCCCAAATTATATTCAGTCAAGGCTCAATATTACCAACTAGACGGAAGGAACAAATATCAAATATATTAATTCAATATATTTTAACAATTCAGTTGAAATAATAACTGTGCTAGCATTTTAAGAGTTAGTATTACATTTATTTCCTTAAAAAATTATTTCAAATAATGCAAATATGTATCATTTCATTTTACATTATATCATTTCATTTTATATTTATATTATTTCATTTTACATTCTCTCCTTCTCCAGATGGTTTAGCCTTTTTTAATATTTCCGATTCTTCCAAATCACCACATTTAAACCACACAAATAACTTCTTTTTTCATAAATTTTAGTTTCTTTTGAATTCAGTTTTTTTCCCATTTTATGAATTGATATTCTTATCTATACCATGCATCTTGAAAGTTTACTTTATTAGGAATGATTTTGGCACTCTCCTTCTTATTAGTTTTAAAAAATGATTCATAAAATTGTTCAAACATTGTTTTTACGATTTAAAAATCATAAAAGCGTTTTTAATTTGTCAGACATCAATAATGAACCTTTTGATGAGTAAAAATATTTCAGAAAATCAAAGGTTTCCCGATTAGAAACATAGCACATAATTTGTGTTGACAAAATGCATGATATCAAGGTTTGGCTGTATTTAATGACAAGAAATTTCAGGAAAGAAACTAGAGCATTAATAAAATATATCTTTATTTTTTAATAAAAAAACATGTTTAAGTACATAAAAATTATTTACAAACTTTGAAAGGGAGAAAGATTCAGATTAGATTTTAAACTTATACAATTATTTTAACATTAAGACCAAAATGCACAGAACTCACATAAACAAAATATAAAAACATAATTGTAATTAGGGATGTAACGAATAGAGATTTGGCTGAATTCTAACCAAAGAATTGGCCGCATAGCAATATTTTTTTTTTAATTAATATATTTTTATGTAGAAATAAATTTAGTGATTATTGAAACTTAGCTGCATTATTGGTATGGGGGTAAGGGAAAAAACTTTATTAAAAATGTTTAAGATAATTAGATATTAAAATAATTAGGAATATTTAAGATAAAAAAAACTAACAGCTATAAAAAGAAATTTGAAAAGTAAAAATAGAAAAAAATATCCTCCTAGAAAAAAATTATCCCTAAAATATTAAGAGATAATGTTTATTAGAAAAGCTTTTAAAATTGCAGCGCTATCATAAAAACGCGATAAAAATCAAAGATTAAATACAAAAGCAAAACAGGAAAAAATAATGATTCGTCTTAATTTTTGAAAGAAAAATTTTAATTTGGACAATTCAGTTTTTTAATAACTTTAAAAAGTGGAAAATAAAGTCTAATAGAAATCCCATTAATTGCCACTTCATAATAAAAACATAGGTTTTTTGAAAAAGGAAAAGTTAGAAAGAAATCGGTTTTTTGTAAGAGGAAAAGTTAGAAAGAAATCAAAACAAAAATCATTCTTAATTTTTAAGCAAAAGATTTAACGTTAATGTTAATTGAAAATGCTCTTTAAAAAAGGCTGTCATAATAAAGACACTGATAAAAAGAAAAGTTATATGCTTTGCTTTAGTTAAAACTGAAAAACAAGTTAACTGAAACAACAACTAAAAAGTTCTCCATTTTTTAAACAAAGTTTTGAAAAGACGATTAAATTGACTTGCCTGAATCGAATTAAGGAAAAAAAATCAGTATTACGAAACTCATGATTCAGTATAAAATAATCTTATTTCAATTCTTCAAATTTTGCTTTACCATGTATGTGTCTTTCAGAACATAAATTAATCAAGTTTTAGAACTCAACAATTAAGTGTAAAAACTATTTCTATAATAACGTATAGTAAAAAACACAATTTTAGATTATTCTTTATTAATATTTCCCCCAAAAAAATAATTCTCCAAATAATACTTTGTCGAAAACCAAATAGTGACAGAATATTCGTTACATCCTTAATTTTAATGATGATGAATAAAATGCTAAGATAAATATTTTATTTGTGATGAAGTTCAAAATGAAAAGAAGAAAAAAAAGGTGAAGCATGAAGATAAATGAATAATATACTCAAATGTTGCATACCTCAGCATTGCTTGTATTTCACACATAATTTGGATTTAAAAGTTTACTTGTCAAACAGTTAATATATCACCTAATGAATTACTAAAAATGGCATTGATTTATATCACGCATATAATATAATTTACAAAAGCATATTATTATAAAATGTAGGTCAGAATGCATACTCTCCAACTACTAAGGAATTTCTGTAGTTTAAGAAAATAATTTTCCTAGTAATAGTTCAGTTAATGTATTGATATTTTAATAAATTAGAATTAAAAGAATTTTGTCCACCAACACATAAATAATTAAAACAGTCAATTAGCCTGATGTTCTTATATACAAGTTTAGATAAAAGTTTCATAAAAAATCTACTTCTTTTAAAAATGCTTACATCTCTATCACTAGTAAAAATATTTTGCAAAAAACTCCAATATTGAAGGGTTTGCAAAAATTTAAATCAGTTATAAAATCATTTTCAATTACAATTCTTTTGAATACATTTTAATAATTCACACAAAATTTGAAAGAGATATTTGAGTAGAATGCCAGTATAAAATTTATATATTAAATTTTCTACAAATTATTTGATTCTTTAATAATTTTTATTGTTTCATTTTGTTTGACATATATATGTGTGTGTTACCTTTCATTTGTGTGAATTAAATATAACAACGAATGACAATTGTTTTTGACAAAGCTTGGTAATTTAGGCCAACCTTCATCTGGTACCCACAGCCAACGAATTAGTACTCAGTGTGCAAATGAGTGGGGAATAAATACTAATACCACATAAACATATTATGATTAGTTTAATTCACTAAAAGGAGAGGCTAAATTGTGTGTTTGTTCAATAATCTTTTCTCTTACCTTCCAATGTTCTCTATTTTGGCACATTTTCACTTTTAAGTAATTTTAATTGTGAAGAACGAAAACTATTCTTATCATTAAAATGAAGAGAGCCTAGCTAAAAAGTTTCTTTTCCCATTTTCATTAAAATATGAAACATTATATTAAAATATCTCTAATTACACAACTATCTGTACAAACAACATATATATTTACACTATGAAAGTTATAAATGGGCTATAACTACAAACAATCTTTACCAACTATGTCTATTAAGTAGACGAGAACAGATATTTTGAGCGTTTGTTATGGAAATTCGGCTTCATTGATAAATATTTAAATATACTGTTACAGGAAGACAATTTAATACTGAATTATAAATATTGTTTTTAAACAGTTAAGTATCAGAATAGAAGTTTACATCAAAATGTATAAAGAAATGGCAGATTATTTGTCATTAAAAACAAGTATGAAATATAAGTATATATTTCCTTTGATGTAGTAGCAGATGTTTAATAATGAATGGAATGCATCAAATCTTATTATTTTACATCTCAGTCTTGTAAAATTGAACCACATCAATTTTATTTTACATAATATTGAAATTTGACCATGGATTTGAATTGCAGAATATTTGTTTTTAGTTTAAAACTATTATTTCAGCCACTGTCATCGAAATAAATATAATATTTTTGCTGTGTGAGTAAGTGAAGTTAAGTCAGAACCACAAAACTTAGTTAATTAATTTAACAATCAGTTCTTAAGTACTTGCCCTAAATTTAAAAAAAAAAAAAACAGGGTGGTGGTTTAATATTATTGAGAAACTCCACGTTTGAAAAAATGTGAAGTATGTACATATTTATTATTTTCTTAAAAAACAATTTAAAACAGTTACATTTTAAATAATAAATAATTAATCGTAAAGATGTTAGATTGTGCATTAACACTTCAAACGTGAAATGCACTCAATAATTTGGGGTCACCCAGTATAATAAAAAATCAATTTAAATACACTTTAAAAAAAATATTCATACTATTAGCAAAAGCTAACATATCTAGTAAAAAACTTTATTTGACGTATCAAAAAGATTACTTTAATTTGTTAACAGCTACTATGTAGTATATAGGAGGAAAAAAAATTTGTTTACAATTACTATGTGAAACAAAATAGATAAAAAAAATTGGGAAGACCAAGATATAACAGCATTCTACACATTTCTATAATTTAATTTTAAAATACATATCTACACAGTGCAAGTTTTATGCAAAATAAAAATTTAAAAAAAAGCTATAGAAATCTCAATTTCATCTACTACAACCTATTTAATTAAATAACAAATAATTTGTACTTTATTAAGCTCACTCATAGATTTATTTTGGAGTTTTGGTTTAAGTATTTTTTTAAATAAACATGTTTTTAAAAATATAACTGGTGTATACTCTTCAAATGGTATTTTAAGTGATATTTGAATACATTGTTTAATATAACATGAAACAAAATTGTGGCTATGAAAAAATTCTGAGCATGAACTTTCTTCCCTTTTAAATTAGAAATGCATAATTTGCTATGAAGTGATACTATAATTCAATTACTTAAACTAGTAATATAATTACTAGTAATATAACTAGTAATATAGTTAAAATTTATATAATTTATCTTTATTGCACTTCTCTAACTACAAAAAATTTGCAGTTCTTTAAAAAAAAGTTAAGAAAACAATTTAGAATAATTTTAGTTAATATGGCTAAGTGGCAGTGAAAATGCAAGGGCAAAGTGAATCTTTAGAAGAAAGCCATTTAAAATGTACTTAAGCATAAAATGGCACATTTTTCGGCTATTAATTAAATCTTATCGATGTTAACACAATGGTTGATGAAATGGTTCAAAATAACAATCACAATTCACATAAAAATTATTTAAAATTCAACAAAATGATGGTAATGATGATGAACGTGCTCATGGAGGTGGTGATGCTCGTGCCTTTCTACAACTTGCTTACGAGATGTGCTTGGTGACATAGTACTCCGTACAAAATGTTTAGCCGTGTCTGCTTTCGCATTAGAGTGTTCGCGAGCTATCCAGCTGGCAACCTGCTGCATGGCTCGCTGTCGCTCGTGATCGCGATGACGGTGTCGGTAATGATGACCCGGAGATGAGGGTAAATGATTGGATAATTTCTGACTCTCCAAAATAGAAGCCCAATTTTGATTGTTTCTTGGCTTCAGTTTAGGAGAATAAAAACCTCCAAGATTTGGGATATTGTTCTCGTAATGGTCATATGATTTGGAACGTCTATGGCTTTGTTTTTCCCAATCAAACTTTGCTTCTGGCACTAGATCACATAAATCATAATTTAAATTCAACAAGTCATCCTCGGGGTCAGGAATGAGCTTATTAGTTCTGTACAAGCGAGGACTAGCCTCTGGATCCACATTTAGCTTAGGATGACAGTTCAGAGTTTTTTTAAGTGGGGAGGAGCTTTGAGCATCTCTGGTTCGATGATGAGATTTTGAATAACCCTGTGTCCTATCTAAGAGATGATAAGGACATGTATATTTAGGGTCCACTCGACCTTGTTGGTGTTCATTCGTTGCAGAATTCAGGCGTGGACTTTCATTCCCACAATTTGGATGAGAAAGATTGTTGCGTTTAGGACTTTCCACACCAGCTAAGTCCAAGTAATGATTCCTACGATCTCGGCATTCGGGGAGATGATCCCGACTGGACACTTGTTTTGGAATATGGATGGGTTCATCTTCCAAATTCTGAGCTAAATCATCAAGTTGATGCCTATATAAACAAAAAAAATTTAAATTTTTCTAAAAAAAAGCTTATAGAATCTATAAACAATTTTGAAAATTATCAATTCAGCTAAAGTTAAGGCAAGAAATGGTGTATTACAACACTTATCAAAATTTCCAATATAGCAAAATAAGATAAAGCATAAATGTATTTTAAATTTGATCAAATTTCTCAAAGAAGGTTATCTGTCCTTGTTTCTGTGATTCACATTTTTATTATAATCGTCAAAACAGAATTTCATCACAGAAAATATGAAAAATGAGAGAGATTTATTTAATAACTGTAGGGACATATTCTAGCTAAACAAAACTAGAAAAAAATATTAATTTGTACACGTTATTTTTGTTCGTGTTGAAACAAGTTAAGGCAAAATTTGATCCCTGAACAGGGAGAGAGTTAACTGTAATTTATAAATGACAGTGAAATTATTATCCCATGTTTTAAAACATTAATTAAGCAGAGTTAAACAGTTTCATTAATAAATTAAATTAGGATTCATGTTTCTTTAGGTGAACAATAATTAGCTTATTAATTAATGCTAGACATTTCTTTGTAGAATGGAAATAATTTTAAAAAAATTATCAATTATATTTGATTAAGTTGAGTTTGAATGTAATTTTTTTCATTCTCTTTTAGGAAAGTTTTTTAGCCCTCTCTATTTGTAAGGTTTCCTACTTTTCACTCAGGAGTGATTTAACATTAGGAAAAACAAAATGCAATCTATTGCATTTAATTTCTAACATAAAAAAAAATAACATTGGGAAAAACAAAATGCAATCTATTGCATTTAATTTCTAACATTAAAAAAAAAGTTTATTACGTGGGAAGAAAAACTAAAAATTTTAGGAAATTCTCAGTTTAGATGGTTAAGACTAAGATTTTAAGCATATTTTTTAAGGATATATACAACACTCATTACTTTCTTAGACTTCTTAAGATTATATTTTAATTTAAATACAAAATTTTAAAAAAAAAATTAAATTCTTGTTAAAAATTGTAATAAATTTCGTTAAATAAACTTTACCTATTGGCAGAGGCATGCATGCGTAGATTAAGCTTTTCTCTTAGATGATTCTTTTGGTCAGGTTTATGAGGACGGTAACGGGCTGGACGCAGTTTAGGCGATGGCATTGCCCTAACATCACATGGAGATGACCTATGAACAACCTGGGGTGATCTTGTTATTGATGGACTGGAATATTTGGGCGGCTTTTCAGACAGGGAAGACTGCAGGTATGTCGAAGTAGTGTTCGCACTTTGAGCACTGCAACAATCATTGAGTTTGGACGGCGGTGAATGTACTTTAGATTCTGTTTGCCAGTTAACAGTGTCTTCGTGAGAGTCTTTAGAATCACTTTCTTTACTACTATCTGGAGAGATGGCTAATTTGACTTTTATGGTACGGCTACCAGATGGCGGGAGTTTTAAAGTCTTGTTCAGAGCTTCACAAATGGAACGTACAACCACTTTTTCTACATCCTACAGCAATATAATAATATATAATTATTTATTATAATTTATAAGCAATTTTTGCTCATAAAATTTAAGCAATTTTATTAGCAGTGAAATTTTATTAAAGTTGTAGTGAAATTTTAATAAAGTTGTCAAAACAAAAATTAACTTTGAAGAAAAATCAGCTTACCTGTTTGTTAGTCTTGTCACAAGTATCTACATCATATAAAGTAAAAGAAAACTCTTGTTTTTCTTGACCATCTACTGAAACACTGCATGTGACCTCCTGAAAATTGAAATTAAATAGTAAGTTATTAAATATTAACAGTCATATGATATAAATAGCAATTTTTTATTTATATAATAACACAAATATTTTATTTCTAATGAGAAAAAATTAGCTCAACTTCAATTTATGTAAGTGATTTTTACAAAAATAATCCATTGCTGAAATTCAGAGTAAAATATTTTAGCAAAATTCATATTAACATTAGATTGCCTAAGGAGTCATTTTGACTGCTTTTAATTTAAATTAGAAAAACAATGATGTATATAATGACACAATTTCTTAGAATTTTGTACAACATATAATTTTTTTTTATTGTTAATATTTACTAATAACTTGTTATATAACTGTAAATAATATAAAAAAATATTGAAAATTTATTTTAAACAAATTTCTTCACACATTATTTATTCTTTTACAATCCAGTCATTTTGTCTGCTTTTGGAGAAATAGTTTCAGTCTTTCTAGCGTTAAATTGCTTTTGTTTGAAAAATTTCAAATAGTAATGAATTATTATCTTTTTATGAAAAAAAAATTTTTGAAGAGAGACATAATCTGTAACAAAAAAAGTAACTTAAAGATCTGAAAGTTCTAATTTCTTTAAAAGAACAAGGGAACTGATATGCATCCATAATCTAAAAATAACTCTATTTCACTTAAGAATATTTTGAATAGTGTAGCATTTGATATTTTATTATTTATAATTTTTCTGTTTCTTAAAAGTAGAAAACAAATACAAGAGTATTGGGGGGTTTAAATTTTGTTTATCATTTCATTGGGCTGGTAAATAAGAGAAAATAAAAACAAAGCACTCATATAAAGCCTCAAATTACAAAATGAATAAAAACAGGCAGTAATACATAGTGTCTGAAGGAAACTACAAAGTGTAAATCATCAAAAGAAAAGTCACAAGGAAACTTAATGGGTAAGTGAGAAAGGATTTTTTTCTTATTACTTATATCTATTAACCAAAAATAACAGTAAAACTTAGAAAAAAAGCTAATTATTATTATGAAATACATTAAATTTCGAAGTTCACATTTTTTTCAACAACTGCATGTTTTCCTGTACCTTTTTTCTATGATAAGATTTAACTTAAAAATAATTTTTCTAATAATAGATCAGAAAAAAATAATTTTAAAGGAAAAAAGGAATTAATTTTATAGGATAGGAAAAAAATAATTTTATCTAATAATAGATCAAATGTTAACAGAAACAATACTTGTTATTTATTTTTATAAATATAATATTATTAATACTAATATAACAATGATTGAGGACATTTTAAACTAATTTCTCTCTTACCATATTGTCAGGCTTCTCATTAATCTCTTCATCCGCTTTTTCCAGTGATTCTTGGTCTATCAACAAAATACCTTGTTTCTCAGAATCTTGAGGTAGCTTCACTGCAATTGAAATAATTTGTCATTAACCATGTGAAAAAAAAAAAATTATTATGTAAGCATTTGAATTAACGTGTTGAGTATAAAGCAAAATTTTCAAATTTTCCTTCCTGAATCAAATTTAAATTGACAACTAAAAGAAAAATTTACAAATAAATTTTAGAAAAATTCATAAGAATAAAATCATATTGCATTTTTTGAGTTAAATTGCTGTAAGACAATAAAAATTTTAGTGGACACTGGTAATGTGGTTCACCCTGCTAATTTAATAAATAAAAATATTCATTTCTTCTCACTGAATAACGATTTTCTGGGGGGGGGGGATTTCGAAGATTTAAGAATAATTTTATGAGTTCATATTTTATTACAAATTTCTTAATTAGAGATGGTATTCAATATTTGTGAGTCTAAAGATTTTTTAAAGAAGTTTATGCTTCACAATTTGTGCTTTCACATTTTTGAAAAGATAGAAAAAATATATAAATTCTTTCAGGAAAATGTTTTGAATATAATTAGTAATTGAGAAAATAACTTATGAAAAAGAAAAAATCCACTAGATATGATGAATTGCAAATTTCACACAAGCAAGGACACATTGAGTAAAAAATCTATTTTATAAAGGATTTTTTTTTACCCTGAAAGTTTAAAAATTTTAAAGAATTTTCTAGGAGGTATTTTTTTAAATCAGGAGAAAAAATGTATTTCATTTGTGTAATGAGAAATCTAGTGGAGTTGGCAGCTAAGGAAAAATAAATTTGAGTAAACCAATATTTTGACAATAGGAAGGTTACCAACTTATATCTATTTTTCTTGAAATTCAATGATTAAAGAAAGTAGGTAAATGTTAGTAAATAAAATGCACAGCATAAAACAATTCCTAAAATAGTTGAAAATTGCGTTTTGTACAATAAATAGATCAACAAAGTGAGAATGTGTTGTGTGAGTTTCTGTTTATTTATCCACTAGAGATAATCCTATACCCCCTGCTGTCGAAATAGGGTTCTGGAAATGGACTCGTCTGTTTTATCGACGTCAAAATCAGACCCCAAGAAGAACGAACTGTTCTCTTTTCTCCATACTTCCTCCGGAATGTCACGTGATTAACGCATCTCTTCACTTTTATCGAATTCGAATCCCGAAAACGAAAGACGAGAACAAAGAGCCTTCAGTTCGGCACATTAGGGAAGAAAAAAGAAATGTCTCAGGGAAAAAGGGAATGTTTCTCCCGAAACAAACCGGAATCTTTAATTAACAAACAACGGTCTTTCTCTTAAAGAACCTTTGTGCGGATAAATTTAGAAAGCTCCCCGCTGTTTCTATGAGGGTAGTTATTAGGGAACATTTTAAATACTATGTAAAATGTGACATAAATTAAATCCAGATGTCAATATTAAATTGAATAAATTTGCTAATCTATATTACGAATCGGAGCTTTTAGATATAAATGCTAGTCTTAAAAAATGAATGGCCATTTCTTGATAATATGCTCCCTCCTCTATAATCGAAATTCTCTAAAAGCCCCCCTACAATATTTCGGGCAAATAGAGAAATTTTTCAGGAATTATAATTATCCAATATTAATTTGAAATCCGCTAATTTAAAAACGGGTACAAAAAATATATTATTTATTTAGAACAATTAAGAAATATTTTTCTGACTTTTTTGTGTACCTAATCTCTCCTAAATATTGACTATTTGAGAAAATTTTCAAGAAGTTAAAAACAGGCTAGTAATAAAGAAATATGTTAATCTATCATTATAATCTATCATTTTCCGGAAACAAAAAAAAAAAAATTTTTTTTTTTTTTACAATTTTTTTTTTTTTGGTGAAATTTAGAGAATATTAACATTAATAATCAGCAATGACTCGACAGCCAGGGTTTTTTTTCCAGGCTAACCTTTTATTTTATAACCGTCGTTGAACAGCCGACCCGATTTTGAGTTAACGACTACTAATGTTCAACTCCGTAGCCTTGTAATTTTGATCCAATCTAGAAGACAAGAAAACTCCTGGTACAGTACCCCAGAGGTATTCATTTGCTATGGGAACATGGAGGACTTTGCGACTCGACAGATTTAACGCGCATCAGTCACTATCTACTGAACGGGGAGTTTTCGGCCGACGGGGATCGAACGCACGCCCTTTTGGATATGGGCCCAAGGTTAACCTTTTATTAACATTAATATTAACACATATTTTATGAACTGTTTACATAAAATATGTGTAAATATTAATGTTATTCACACTGTCAATAAATGCAACGCGACATTGCTTTGCGAAAAGCACAACTTTTTTTTTCTCAAGTTAAAAAAAAAAAAAAATTTAATATAGTAGGCAAGTACACTGTGCATCAGTTACCGAAAGCGAATAAGAAAAACTTTAAAATGCTTTTAAGTTGAACATTTTTTTTTTAACATCATAAAGGGTGATATGAATAGCAATGGATGCTTAAACGACACTTAAACTTAGTTTATTGTTGGTTAATAAGTTGGGGGGAAAAAATTTCATCATAAACAGTGATACTTAGTTCTACTAAATTTATGAGACGGCATAATTTCACAATGAACACAACGCTTCTAATCTCCCTATACTATAATAAATAAGCGGGCGGGGGACATACAAGGAAAAAAAATCGAGAGGGACGATATAATCGCACTTGTCATCTCCGTTTCACTACCGATGAATCTAGATCACATCACCAGACTATAACAGCTGTGAAAGTGATGCACAACTTTTGGGCAAAGAATAAATGACCACCCCGCCCTCTTACATCGACCACACCCACGTTTTACCTGTGCACAAACGCTCCAAAAAGCGGCATTTCCGGTGTACCTTCAAAAAGAACACACCTCAAACTACCGCACAGCAGGTACTGGTCGACCCCCAAAGCGCTTTTTATGGGGGGGAAGAGTCACCAATTTTGCAATTCCGAGAAGAATGCCAAAAAAAGAGGAGTGGGCGGAGAGCAACGATATATGTTCCGATCAGAGAACGATTTTTCGAAGACACATTTCGTAGTCAAATATTTCAACTTTCCCCCCTTGGCACATGGTTCCCGGTCGCCGGAATGTACAAAATAGAAGGGTCAAGAGTGATTTGTTGTCGTATTTGTAATGTTTTATAGCCCTGGAGAACATAAAAATCGAGCAGAACTAATTTTACGATTACGAAAAAAGTATTCATGTGATACAACGGCGTAACATAACCATTGCTAAATAGGGAAAACATCGGGGTTTCTTTTATTAAAAAGTGTTATTTAAAATAAAAATATATAGATTCAAGAATAAATCACTTCGTTTTTCTCTTCACAACGACACATTCTCCCGACCACCCCTGTTCCATAAAAATCCCACACATTGTTGCATTATCGTAAACAAGAATATTAAAGCGTAATAAATGTTTTAAAAAGTGGTGTTTACGAAAGTATGCAACATTGTTGGTATTTTCAAAATGTTCCAGTTTAAACCAAGAGATTTTTTAAAAAAAATAAACATTCGCTTAAATTTATTGAGAAAAAAAGTGTTTAAAATGATGTGTACTTGAGTATTGCGATCATTAAAATGCAACCATTAAGAAATAACAAAACATAACATTAATTAATTAACTTAAAATTTTATTTAAACAAGCCTAAAGCAAATAAACTAACTGATTAATTCATTTGTACATTCAAGTGAAGCTAAATAAATTTTAAATAAAGAATAACTTGAAATTTTCGCGCTAATCGTGAAAAAAAAGGAAAAAAATTGTTAATTACCAATTAAGTGTAGGGTTTATAAGTTAGTTAAGGATCTTAAGATATTTTTTTAATTGTTTGGTTATATAATTTCTTTTATTCATAAAAAATTTCAAATAAAAGAACTGCAATGTAACAATTTTTTTAAAAAAAAAAATGAAGTTATTTTTGAACTACGATTTCAAAAATAATTCAGGTTATAAGGTTATAACATTGAATTTACCTTGAAGAGGTATTTGTTCTTCAGTCTTATTTTTAGGACAAACTCCATCATCACAAAGAGAAAATGACAGCTCCTGCAATCAAAATCAATCAATCAACAAACATTTTATTATGTAAAAATGTAAACAAAATGCTAATTATGTTGTTATGTAAACAAAACTTTATTTTACGATGCCCTTTATTTAACACAATTGAAGACAATTGGATACCTGCAAGTGACATCATCGTAATTAAATAATGGCATTTGTTGATTCAGAAGCCAATCAGGTTTGACACACGTGACGTCGCTTTACAAATATCCAATTAAATTTGATTTAAATCACATGATAAGACATAATCACTTAACAAGTTGCTAGTTCTCTATATTACGATCTAATGCGTTTAACGCAAATGTAGAGAATAGATATCTTTATTTCATGATCGCTTGTATTTAACGAAGACAAAATTATTTTTACGACCTATAACAAAAAAAAAATTCTAAATACAATTTTAAAACTAATGAGGAAAATGCTTAGTTCTACGATCTTTTGTAATTAGCATTAACGTAGACATGACTACTAACATATATTTTTCAATATCTTATATTTTTACAAGTGTTCTAACGTTAAATTTAGGTAGCAAACTGACTTAATCGACTTCTGCAAATTGTTAAGTACTCGAGTGTCAGGTTACATGTCAGTTATCGAAATTCAGTTATCGACTTCATAATTTTCTTTTATTTAAAAAAAAATTATTTACTTCAAAAACCTCAATTTAGTTAGTTATAAGCATAATTATGATTGAAATCATATAAAGAATAAATCATATCACTTCAAAATCTAAGACTGCATTAAAAATTATCGACTGCAAGCATCTGTATGATTCAAATTTATTGAAATTTGTATAGAAAAACATCATTAACGGCTAAAAAATACAAATCACAAATTTGATTTCACGAATCTACTTTGTACTTAGTTTGCATTCTGAAAAAATCCACAAGATTTTTGAGGTTTAAAAAAGTTATTTTAAAGATGTAACAATTTATTTCTCACTAAGAGTACGATTGGAGCAAAATATTTACCAAAAAATTTTATGACTATTGGAAACAAAAAAAGAAAATTAAAAGTCTCATTTAATGTTTAGTATGTTTAGTACATTTTTTAATCGTTGATTTCTTTATAAAAAGTATTATCCTGATTTAAATCAGTTATTTAAAAAATAATCCAATTGATTTAAATCAAGTGGAGTCAACGAACCTTAAATCTGGTTTCTCAATACTAAATATCTTTTTTGACTTGGCAATGGCCCGAACGAAAGAAAAGTAATTTCATACATGTAAAAAGTCAATATAAATATTTATTCGAAAATATGGCAAGAAAATTATTAAAATCTTCAACAACAAAAATTTCATATTTATTATTTTTAAACAGGTTTTATAGATTCAAGTAAAGAAAAAGCAAACTACTTTTTATTTACAGACGCTAACAAATTCATAAAAACATATCAACCATCTCAATTCCGATAAACAAGGGGGGAGCGGGTGAGAGAGAGAGTTTGTTCCATCAAATTCAGCAACCGTCATTTGAAGTGAAAGAACCTCACACATTTACAAAAGAAATGAGAAAGAAAAAATTGAAAAGATGGCTTGGGGAGAGAGAGGGGGGAAGAATGATGAGATTGAATGAAACACGGCGAGAAAGAGGAGGAAAGGGGGGAGAAGGATAAAACGAGAACTTACAACGCGTGACTGATTAAATATTCAAGTCAGGGGGGAGGGCTTGCCAACCGGCCGGCAAAGATCAAAGAAAAAGAGAATAACAAAGACTTGTCCGAAATCTGGTAATTGCACACGAAGCGTGAAAGAATATTAAAAAATGAAAAAAAGGAAAAGTAATAATAATAAAGGAGCTGAGGTTGTTTTTTTTTTTATATTTCTTCTTTTGCTTATTTATTTACTACTTCGGGCGTCAACTTAGGTAATAACACGGCGGCTCATTACTAAAGCTTTCGGTAGAGACACGAATTTCGCTGCATTGTAAAATAAAAAGAGAATTAAGATTCGAACTAAATAAATGAGGGGTTGCTTTTTTTTTTTCTATATCAGTTAAATGCACGACAGGAAATGACCGTATTTAAGTAAAGCTTTACTGTTTTTTTTTTTCCTCAGTCGTGATTAATTTTGGAAGTTTCACGGGATTTAACCAACTAGTAATTTATTTATTTTTATTTTGGAATAGAATAGAATAATGACATCCGTTTATTTTCGTCTTTTGTTAAAGAAATTGCTTCATTAAAAGATTATTGTTCATAAATTCTGGGAAAATAAATTCGGAACAATGAAAAAAAAAAAAAAGACAAACCTGTATATCCTCTATTTAGCGATTTGAATATTTATAATGGACGAAATTTCTGGAATACATTAAAACAACTTTGTTTTAACAGTAAATTAGTTAAAACAATAATTGTTGTTCTTTAAGAAAAATAATAATTAAATTAATTCTTTGATGGGGCCATTAAAATATTGCGTAAGCATATTTTTGACTCGAGCTTCTGGAAAAATAAATTCGGAACAATGACAAAAAAAAAGATTAATCTGTATATCCGGGATAAGGATCATATTTTATCTGTGATTTTCGATGTACTTCATTTCTTGGAGGAAATAAAAAGAGCATTAAATACTTAAAATATTTTATATTATTCAAATATTTTATGGCATTTATAAATTAAAAGAACTAATTTGTATGAAATGGTTAAGACAAAATATTTCTTACATCCTCATGTTTAAATAAGCTAATTTATTATCCATAATTATTTTGAACATGAGTGTAAATTAAGTTCTCTAGAAAACTTCCTCCCCTAAAAGTGACTACATTCGAAAGTAGTTAGTAGTAGCCGCATTAAAAAAAATTCGTTGTAGTTACAAAAAAAAAAGTAGTTTTCGGACAGGTGCAGGGGATATATATATATATATATATTCAATAAAAAAAAACATTGAGATAGCCTTGCCACAACATAGCCTTAATAATAGAAGCCAAAATTATTTGTTTCATTAATTGTCTTGTCTAGATCTCAGGCACGTGAGAATAAAGAATTCAGAAAACTTATTTCAATAAATAATAGAATGTATTAAAGTGTTTTCAATAGTAGATGTCCCAGAAACAAACAAAACGAAAAAATTCTTAGGAACCTATATTTAACCAGTGGGTCTTAAGTAATCTAAATGTCATCACATTCTAAAACAATCTTCTTAGTTCTGAATACAATGGTTATTATCTTATCGAAAGGATAAAAAGGTTCGATTGTGTAAAGAGCGGGAAATTTTTCCCCCTTCCTAAATGATTGTCACACATGGTAGCTTCACAAGCTAGCTATCCGCATCACGATAAACACAAAATAATACCATCTTCAGTTGCCGATTGCATCTACTAATACCTCACAAAGAAGTGTTCTTGTTTAAAGGTTTTAAGATAAGAACAGCAACTGATGTCTCTATTTGTAAGTTGACAACGACACCATTTACTAGGTCAAAACGAAAAGAAAGTTTTATGTCCAATTCGCACTCCATTTTAATACAAAGAACTTTGTATTAAAGGACAGATTAAAATATGCTTTTGTTGTTTTCTTTAACAACAAAAACAATCGGAAAAAGAAATTTTTAAAGATTTTGCATCTTCTTAACGGTACAGAATCTCTCATCTTACGAAAGATTTTTTACTTTTTTTATAATGTTTGCGCATTTGTAACAGTTATCCATAACAGTTAGGTTAAGTTTTTGTTCATATCCTCTAATGATGCAAAACGTCAATATGAAGAAATGTGACCTACCACAGTGCCATTTTTGGTGGAATGGAATATTTATTATTTATGATTTAAATGTATTTAAAGTAACTCCAACACTGTGAAATCTGAGTTCGGGAAAAAAACACAAAATTTAAAAAAAAAATAATTCTTAGAACTTCGAAGATTCAGTAGTCGCATGAAATTGCGAATAATATGTTATTTTTATAAATGTTGTGATTTTTCATTAGCTACTCATGACTGTTACTAAAGTGTAACTCATTTTCAGCCAGCCCCTTGTACATTAGTTCTGAAAATGGCGGAAAAGTCAATATGAAGAAAAATTCAGTTTTGTGAAAGTAAAAAACATTTGTGCTTTTATTTACGTATTTATTTATTTATTCTATTTAAAATGTAAAATATGCGCGGCATTACCCAGGCTCATAAAAATTTCCTAAAGATAAAAATTATTCATTGATTTTGATGATTTTCATTGAAGTAGAAAAATCTCGCCAAATTGACAATCGTTCAAAAAATTAAGAACTAAAAAAAATTAAGTCATTTGTCTGTTCCAAAGATCAGATAATTCTTTACAACTGCAATATGATATATACATAGTTGAAAATTATAGCTTGGCCTCAAGTGACTTTTTATTTTCTATGAGGAAAGAACTTCGGAAAAAAAAAACTGGCCAAATTGGCGTAATTCGAACATTTCTTAAAACATCAAAAATATTAACCCGTTTTAAAGTTCAATCAGCAAAACAGTATATACCATTTAAAAGTAAAGTTACGAAATCTTCTAGAGGTTGAAGTTAGAAATCACTTTCTTAACAAAAAACCACTCTTTTATATCATTTTTTAAAAAAAAGGCAAATCAAATAAACATCAAGCGAACGTAAAGAACTGTTTGATTTCCATTTTTTTCATTCTCGTATCTTATATTAACAGATGGAAGAGATCAATGGAATTCTATAAAACATTCCAAGAAGAAAGTGAAGCGAACATTTCCTGCTAAAAAGGAGAGACCACACAAGAGGAGCATTCTTATCCCCAGCAAATGGCGAGCACCCTCTCTCTTTCCCGCTTTTATCTGAAAACACACTGCTCTGATTTGAAAGAAACACTTTATCTCGCGAACGAGAACACAAGTGGATAGGATCACGTACCAAGCATTTCAAGGAAGAAAAAAAAAATACTATTTGCATCTGAAATGAAATATAAGTGTCTCTTAAAAACAGACACCATTTATTTATTATAATCGCGATATTATTAAGATTATAACTTGAAGAACATATCAAACACTCATTCAGTTCGTA